AGAATTCGTCTGCCTGTGAACTTGCCGCTGTGCAAGGGTTCGGCTCAGGGAAATTATACGCTGGGTAATTCTTACTTTTCGTTTCCCCGATTGAGTCACTCTTTTCTCATCCCAGTCAATGTTTTATCGAGTCGAAATCAGCAGCGTCAAACTTTTTGTTCAGTTTGATACCGCATAGCAAACTCTTTCGATACGTGTCCGAAAACGGCGAGATCCCAGAGAATAGGGAGACTACTTGGAATGACAAAAAAATAGAAAATCTATCTGAAAAAAGGGTTTTTAGTTGTTAGGTTACTGCTACTAGGACGCTGTGCACTGTAGTCACGGTTAGCGCACCCCGATGAGGGTTTTGTCCCATTCAGAGCACAAAGGGGCAGTTTATCGTTCATTCTAGTTATTGCGATTCTAATTGGACCACACGACATATTTTCATTGGGTGATACCTGTACATATAGACCTGCAAATTCGCCCACACTCTTCCTTGTTTTTTCTACCAAATCGGATGGCCAAGTGGGAGGTCCAGATTTCCATTGATTTCAGATTGACTGTTGCCGATTTTCCTGTCAGCATACTGTACAGTATCTGTGCGTCACTGCACGAACCTGAAAACGGGATTACCTCATGTGATGCTGGCGAACACGTGATTCCCGCACCTGAAGAAGGATGGAGAACTTTCCAGGCGAGAGGGGTGCGGGGGTGAGGGGGGGGGAAGGGAGGGGAGGGGAGATTGGAGGAACTTTCTGTACTTTTGCGGATAAGGAAGCAGACAGATGCAGCGTGGCACCGCAAATGCAACGGAATGATGATGAAAGCTGCTCCATGCAATACATTGGCAGGAAGGCTCCAGGCAGATTCGCTCGGCCTAGAGTGCTCTCCCGGGGAGGCTCTAGGGTAGTGATGCATGCCGCCGCAGCACTCGAGTGTGCCAGACTGTTAAAATTATATTAGTTATAATTTTATATAGGCTTGGTAGGTTGCTACTGAACCTTTCTGTAGGGGGTACAAACCCCTCCTTGTACTCCCTTCTCTTCCTAATCCAACTCTCTTTCTTCTCGACCTTCCTCCTACTCCTAGATCCGTTTTTCCTAGCGCCGTTCCATGGCGGCCTTGCTCCTATCCTAGCTAAGCTAGTGTCCTAACTTTAGGGACCTAGCATCCTAAGTTCTTAACATGGTATCAGAGCAGGAGATCCTTCCTGCTGGACTGCCTCCTCTCGCTTCCGCCATTTACTCCTCACCCTCAGTCACTCCAGCGGCCATGGCGGCCGCGTTTTGCTGCAGTGGCGACGTCGCGCTGCCACTGGGCGCGTCGTGCCGCGACCGGCCCGACGCGCTGCCGCGGAGTCGGGCCGTCGTTCTGCAGTCGCAGCGTCGACGCCCCGCTGCGGCATCGACGCTGCCATGGCGGCCGCGGCGACGTCACGCTGTGGCGTCGTCGTCTTTTCGCCGGCTGCGCCGTCCTGCCGCGGCCGTCTCGACACGCGACCGGGACGACGTCAGCGCGACGCCGCGGCTGCGCCCCTCCTGGGCCTCGTCGCGCCCTGCCTGGCCTCATCGCACCCGCTCGGCCCCGTCGCGCCCTGCCTGGCCCCGTCGCCCTCTGCCCGGCCCCGTCGCCCCCTGCCAGGACGCCGTCGTCCCGCCTGTAAGCGCCGCGCCATTTATGGCGCGACGCTGAAGACTCGCCCCGACCCCCCCCCCCCCCCCCCCCCCATTCTCCCTTCCCCCTGCGTCTTCCCGTCCTCCTGTCGCAGCTGCTGTCTTCTGCCCGGACGTTGCCACATCGCCGAGAGCCCTCAGCCGCGGCAGTCGCCGCCTGTCGTCGGCGACCCAGCCGCCTTGAGCCAGAGCTCCGCGGCTGCTTGTCGCTGACCCGCCTAGACGCCGTCGGCTGCCTCGTGTACGGGGGTGTGTCAACGCTTTGCCTGAGGGTCAGATACCCGGCTAAGCACGAGCCTGAGGGTGTGCGGGGTTAGGGGGTGGGTTGGGTGCGGGTGTGGGGGTGTGAGTGGGCTTGACACTACCAAGCCTAGGGGGTGTGTTAAAATTATATAAGTTATAATTTTATATAGGCTTGGTAGGTTGCTACTGAACCTTTCTGTAGGGGGTACAAACCCCTCCTTGTACTCCCTTTTCTTCCTAATCCAACTCTCTTTCTTCTCGACCTTCCTCCTACTCCTAGATCCGTTTTTCCTAGCGCCGTTCCATGGCGGCCTTGCTCCTATCCTAGCTAAGCTAGTGTCCTAACTTTAGGGACCTAGCATCCTAAGTTCTTAACACAGACAGCTTACATTCTAGGCAAGATCCGGCTGGCATGATTCGATCCGATGCTGCCTCGCTCTAGTTCCGTCCGATCGAGCAACCCCCCTGGCGGTTCGCCCAACGGATCGGATTCTCTCCAAAGTGGCTTCACATAATCCATCCAAGTCGTTCCTCGCCGTCCGATTCATCCGTTCACAGTGCAGACGCCAACGAGCCTTCTCTTTATCTGTCGAACTGGTCGAGAGGGAACCATAATTGAGACCCTGAGACGCTGACGGCCCAGCGAGAGGCACTGATTCGTTGACGGCTTAGAGAGAGGCCGTGACACGTTAACGGCGTAGGGAGAGGCCCTGACACTTGACGGCTTAGAGAGAGGCCCTGACACGTTGAGACGTGGACCCCTGCCTGGTCCAAGTGGCCTTAGGGAGTGACTCTCGCTCGACCCATGCTCGGAAACTCGAGACTGACAGGCATATACTTCGAATTCTGGATGGTTTGACTCGCCTGCAGGCCAAGGTGGAGGCGAGATGGGCGGAGGTGAGATGGGCGGAGGCGAGATGGGTGGAGGCGAGATGGGTGGAGGCGAGATACCGTATTCCCCCGGATATACGCCCCTAGGTGCTTATAGGGATTATAGTCATAATTTTGGGGGTGCGTTTAATTGGATTTTTTTTATATGGCACGGTCCGTTAAAAACGTTCTTAAGGAAAATTTTGAAACGAACATGAACATGTAGCTAGAACAAATTGCAATCGAATGGAATGCTCCCAAACGGGAACAACCAGAGAAGTCCCGCCAAAATCGCTTCCCAGACGATTGACGCGTCAGCCAAGCAGCACGTTCGCTGCAGTTTGCCAGCGTGCAGGCTAGCGTGGGCGATCCTGGCCATCCGTTCTCTCATCTGACACGGCAGCAGAGCTTTGCCGACCACACCTTCGATGAGTCGGAAGGCCAGGGGTCGATTTTGTGTGATGAAGTGATTCGTCACGTAAACTTGATGCCAAATGTACAGTCAACATAGTCAGTGCGAGATTCCCACGGGGAAAAGGGGGGTGCGTATAGGGATTAGAATCTGGAAAATGGGGGGGTGCGTATCATTGGCACATCCGATATGGCACCCCTCCGGATATACGCACCATGGTGCGTTTTAGCTGGCGGTGCGTATATCCGGGGGAATACGGTAGGTGGAGGCGAGATGGGCGGAGGCGAGATGGGTGGAGGCGAGATGGGTGGAGGCGAGATGGGTGGAGGCGAGATGGGCGGAGGCGAGATGGGCGGAGGCGAGATGGGTGGAGGAGATGGTGCAGTTCAGTGTATGTACGTGGCAGGCACGCTGGGGTAGGCATGGCTGGGGTGTATGTCTGGGGGTAGGCATGGCTGGGGTGTATGTCTGGGGGTAGGCATGGCTGGGGTGTATGTCTGTTGCAGGTGTGAGGTGCCTCAGAAGTGGCTGTGTCTGCCTCACTCCATAGACCCCCCTGATGCGGCACCGCATCGGAGGCTGCTGGCGCAGGTACGGCCTGGCTGGAGTAGGTATTGTTGAGTGACCCGCTGGGGTTGCCCTTGAGATCCTCGGGGAAGGGCCACAGGTGCAGAGCCTGGGGGGCTATGGGCGCACTTACCCGCTATTCAACAAGCCCTTTTAACCCAGTGGTTAGTGAATGGGTTTCTGACATGGTACATCAGAGCCAAAGGTCGTGGGTTCAACTCCCAGTGCCAGCGCTGCAGAGGCGCTCGTGTCTTCCACCTATCCCAGCGGGGGGGGGGGTGTTGAGTGACCCGCTGGGGTTGCCCTTGAGATCCTCGGGGAAGGGCCACAGGTGCAGAGCCTGGGGGGCTATGGGCGCACTTACCCGCTATTCAACAAGCCCTTTTAACCCAGTGGTTAGTGAATGGGTTTCTGACAGGTATGCCACGGGGTAGGAACGGCCTGGATTAGGTATGACCTGGATTAGGTACCATGCCCTGGGTTAGGTACTGCCTGGATTAGGTATGGCGTACAAAGTACGTGGTAGCTGGCGTTGTTTAAGCCTTGGCTCCTCATTTCGACACGAGCAAAAGTGTTGTGCAATGTCAACATAACCCATAAGCAATTTTGAGAAGAGTACCGGTACCTTAATAGTTTCCTCTTGATAGAACCTAACACATGGTTGGTGTGCTGCATGTTTTTTTATTCTTCAATCAAATGCACACTGAAAAGTGAATGTTTTATATTTGTGTTCCCGTTTGACACTAACTGAGCTACACCTTAGCAGCGTAGAATTCCATCACTTGCATGTCTCCCCCCTCCCGTGCTGCAGAAGGTAGCGAAAAGCAACACCTGGGCGAAATGGAGCTGAGCCGGGCGAAAGCCTGTGCGAGATGAAGAAGGTTTGGGTGGGGGCCATGTTGCAGGGCGGTGCGAAGCTGGGTGGGGTGTCAGGGCGGCCTCAATGTGCATTTGGCGACCCGTCGTTGCAGATGTAGATTCAGGTTGATTTTCAGAATCCAGGGTGATTCAGGGCACAGCAATCCTCAGGTCTCTGTTCTCTCCGGACACCATGTTCCAGCAATCGCTCTCGACGGTTGCCATCTGCCTCGTCTCTTGCTTGCTCAAGCTTATCAAGCCCAGCTGCATTCTCTCTTCGGAACTGTGCAGATTCACGCAAGGCCCAGTCCAGGCACACAAGCGCCAAAAATTGCATGAAGGAAGCATGGCTAATGGAGTCCGAGTAAGGCGAACTTTGAGGTGAAGAATGACCCATAGCAGACCATGAGCAAGTGATAACATGAATATCGTTGAATAGAATGGCCATTACAGAACAAAAATTGGTACAAATGAGGCAGCACGTCAGCACAGCCAGGACCATGGCGGACAAATATTTATTACAGCACCGTGTTAGACGCCCGGTAGGCCTGCCATCCATACTCCACCCCCATGAAAGAAATAATAATCAAAACCCCGCCCATATGCAGCCAAACCCTTACACAGCACCTCCGCCGCTGGAGCTTCCGCCACTGCTGCCATTCTCCGACCCCTTCACAATGCTGCCCATGTTGCTGAGCGCCTTCGGATCATTCGCAGCCTTGCCCGACGCGCGGCTCTCCCAGTCCTTCTGCCCGTTAAGCGTCGTCGAGGTGGTAACATCCACCCACGTTTTCGATGCGGCGATGTTCGCCAAAATCTTGCTGTACAGGACCCCCACGGCGTCGCGCGCCACCTTCACCTTATCCCCCTGCGTCACGCGAGCCTTATTCACCGCTGCGCGGACGGACGCCAGCGACGCGTCCGCCGTGTCGACCGTTTGCTTCGCCGCGTCGTACGCCTGCTGGGCGGTGGTGTAATCCGACGTGGCAGTCGCAAGGTCAGCGTCGGCCGTCTCCTTGGCTGTCTTCATCGTCCCTTCCTCCGTCGCAGCGTCGTCGGACGCGGTCGTCGCAGCGGTGCTGAGATCCGCCGACGCCGTCTGGAGGCTGGTAAGCGTCGCCATGTGCACCTCCCACCCGCTTGCGACCTTCTGTGCGACGGCGACTGCGACGGCCTTCTCCGCGGCTGCCGCACGGGTAAGCGGGCTGGGGTCGCTCTTAGCCGCGGCATTTGCTTCATCGACGGCGGTTAGAGCGGCGGTGAGAGCGTCTGCGGCGGCGGTGGAGCCCGTACCGGCCGCGCCGGCCGCAGCATCGACTTGGGCGGCCCATGCGGCAACCGCGTCGGCGTACTTCTTCGCTGAGATGGACCGTGCCGTGGCCGCCTTGAGTTTCTCCGCGAGACGCGCCTGAAGCGCCTTCTTACGGTCAAGCGCGAACTTGGCCTTGGGAAGATCGGCGACGGACGTCGCGAACGTGTCGGCGGCGTCGTTGTAAGTCGAAAGAGCCGTGTCCTCCTCGCCCTCCTTGGTTGCGGCGGCGGAGATGGCGTCAGTTGCCTTGGATGTGAGCTGCGTTACGAGGTCCTGCTGGTATGAGACGGCACCCTTGGCCTTCTCCGAGGCTTTGGCTGCATCGGCGAGGGACAGAGTGTTGGAGCTCCCTTTCTTCCCGGCGCCCCCGGTCCCTTTGCGCAACCCCGCATTGGCGGTTGAGCTGATAAGGAGAAGCCCGAAGAGGACGAGGACGATTGCGCGAGCCATGGAACCGGTCTGACTGCAAGATTCAGAGAGGTGTTGAGCAGAGAGAGCTGAAAGTTTACACAGAGAAGGCACGTTTGAGTAGTCTGAAAGACTGAGGAGTGGGTAAGTAAAAGGAACGTGGTAAACGTGGAGGGTAAGATGGAAGTGTGTTGGTATGTCAAGATAAGGACAGGAGGGGGGAGGATGGGGGAGGGTGGGGGAGGGTGGTGGTTGTGCATCATTGTTGCTGGCGAAGCAAATCCACCCACAAATTTGGTAGTGCGACGAACCGCATGTGTGATTTGTTCTGAGCCGCGTTGTTCAGCCAATGCGAAGAAGCAAAACGACAGCACACGAGCTCCTGAGAAAGCCCCAAATAAACCCACCTGCACAGTGAGTCCCATGTGTCCAGCTGTTATTTGGCACCACATTGGTTTGATTATATTTTCGAAACCCCAGCACTGGAACGAGAATGACTCGGAGGTGTTAGGCACCTTGAACTGGACATGACAGCATGTCCAAAATGCCTAGCAACATCCATTGACATTTGTGATGTCAAGGCAGTGATCTAAAACTTTTCGACGTACCCTACCAGAAAGTGAAGCACCGCATTGAGCTTACGTAAAATGTCGGCGGACGACCTCGACATCTTTCGACATCCAACTCTGGTCACGCTCTTGGGACCTTTGAGATTCGGACATAAAAAAGAACATAATTCCCTTCCTGAAAACTGCACCTGCGAATTCGTCTGAGGCAAAACTGACACCTTCGGACCGGACCTCTTTGCAACCCTCTGGTCTGACCAGTGACCTCGATGCATCTGACAGGCGCCCTTCCCACATGGCAGCAGAAGAGTGGACGTTGCCACCTAGCCTTGACGCCAGCAGTTGGAAGCTGTTCAGGGCTCAGATAGGCCGTCGCAACAATATTTACGGATGTCAGTGGGTAGGTTTGGATCGAGTACAGTGAAGCATACGGTACATCATAAAAACCCACACACTACAATAATCACTACCTTTTGGAGTACCTCACTCCAACTAATGTAGAAATCTGCACCCCTACATTTGAGATCAGTGCATGTTTTGTGGTATAACCTGTTTCTACAATTATTTGCAAACAGTGTTGCTGAAAGACTTGAGCTTGCATACGTTGGCATTCCCTTGCCCAGATTTCGAAGGTATCGGGACCTGAAGCTGTTGACACAGCCATTGGATGGCAAGGCTGGATAAAGAGGCAACTGATTTGACTCCTGATGAATCCATGCATGCTGGCTACAGGATACATGCTTTCTGCAATTCACCTATTGGATGTCCGGTACATACAAAAATTTCAGCTGGCGTTTCACATAGCTGAAGAAAGGCATGGGTCACACTGGCTGTAAATTTGGAAACCAGGTGACAGCCTCTTGCCAAACACAGGACACTCTCCTACAGGGACACTGGTCCATCTTAGATGCGCATACTGGTACTACGATAGTTGGGAAGACGAAGCGGTGCAAGTGTAGTAGATGCATGGAGGATGCATAAAAAGGAGAAGGTAAATTCTAGCCGCGATCTGCTCGAGGTGTTGCCCACTCTACACGCAGAATGAGATTGTCGTAACCGTAACCATCGAGCTTGTTGATTGCACGAACAGCATCCTCCCTGAACACACATGGGTGGGGGAAGAAAATGGAGATATAACATGTGTAAGAAAAAAAGCACAAGCAGCAGCAGCAGCATATCACAATCATGTAGGTATGACCGCATGGGTATGACCGCATGGGTATGACCGCATGGGTATGACACTCCCCCATGGGAGAACCAGCAATGACCACCCAGGACCGCAACAACACACAATATACGGTATGCTGTAGCCCTAAAACCGGCACACAAGCACCGACATCAGATGACACACAAGCACAGCACATGGCGAAGGCTGTTCTACGCGATGTCTCTGCAGAGCCGTGCAACCTCGACATCAGACGCCATCACAACACAGCAGTGACGGCATGCAATGCAACTGCGCCAGTGCGCACATTCATTCAACCCACCCGCCACCAACCGAATAAGACCTTTCTATCCCCTATCACCCCCTTCCCTCCCCCCTCCACACGCACCTGTTGATGAAGTTGATAAACGCGAGCCCCCTGCTGAGCCCCGTCTCGCGATCGAACGCCACATAGATGCAAACTGAACTGCAGGTTGCAGGCTAACCCAACCCAGCCCAACCCAGCCCAGCACTACACGCTACCCCTTCCGCACCTGTTGATGAAGTTGATGAACGCGAACCCCCTGCTGAGCCCCGTCTCGCGGTCGAACGCCACGTAGATGCGCGAGACCGGCCCGAACGGGCCGAAGAGCTCCTGAAGGTCCTGCTCGCGCGTGTCCTCCGACAGGTTCGTGACGCGCACCGAGTTCGAGTCATCCCGCCCTCCGCGCCTCCCGCCGCCGCCGCTGTCCTCGCCCGCGCGCGACGCCGCGCCGCCCGCGCGCAGCGACGGCGGAACGTACGACGTCTTCCCCGACGGCGCGGCGGACGCCGAGGGCGTTGCGCCGTCCTCGTCGAACTTCTCCCCCACCGCGAGCCCGCGCGCGGCGGCGAGGTCCTTGAAGGGGCACTTGGACGTCCAGTGGTCGCCCTTCTTCCCGCAGATGCGGCAAACCATGAGCGACGCGCTCCCGATCGCCGCGAGATCGCCGGAGGGTTTGGCCTGCTCCTCCTGCTTCGACTGCGCCTGGTTGGGGCGCTCGAGGAAAATCTCCTCCGTCGAGACCATGGTGAACAAGTCCGAGCCGACCTGCGGGGTGACCGGGACGGGACGCGAGGGGAAGGGGAGGGGGGGGGCGGGGGTGGGGGGGGGGAGGGGAGAGAGGGGGGAGGTGGGGGAACGGAGGGAGGAGGCGAGCGTGGAAACGGCGGAGTTGGGAGGAGGAGGGTAACACGGGAGCACCGGTTGTGACAGGGAGCTTCCCTGTGTGGAGACATGGTGAGCTTCCCTTCAGGGGACATAATACGTGACTACTCCTGCTGCTTATGAGTCGACTCAAAAGCCACCTCATGGTGAGTTTCCTTCTTGGAAACATAACACGTGGCTACTCAGGCTGCTTAAACCCTCACAAACCGACAGACCAGCTAACGTAGCCGACAGTCGACAGAGAAGAAAACAGCTGTCGCCAACCCTAAAGAAAAAAGGTTAGATATTTTTTTAGGTTTAATGACCAGACGCGGTTACCTGTCCGATCGCGTCGCCGAATTTCTTCAGGCCGCGGCGGCGAATGACTTCAGGCTTCAGCTTCTTGAGTTGCTTCTTAACGCGTATCTTCTTCGTCACCTTCACGCGCTGACCTTCGTCGTTAAGACGCCACTCGATAACGATCTTAATCCCCTTCTCGTCGGGACCGATCACCTGCGACGGCGGGAGGACGGAATCTAATCCCTCCTCTTCCTCTTCCGCATCTCCCCAGCGAAACGTTTCTTTGCGGGCCCCCATGGATTTGTTAAACCTTAACAAAGGACGGAAAGAAGACTCGGGGAGATGGGAGCGTGACGAGTAAGCGACGGGCAACGAACGACACAGGAGACGATTACTGCTCGTGCTCTGTCTCTGGGTCCAGAGGGCGAGAGGAAGGAGATGTGAGAGGGAAAGAGGATGAGAGGAAGCACGGATCAGGGATGTCAAATTGGACGCACAAAATAGTGTGGATTGCGTGAGTGGTATTTTTACTGCGAATTCAAGTGCACTCCCAAACCATCTGCTCTCTGATTTATAACGAAGCATCCCCTCCCTGATAAGCTGACCCACGTTTGGTTGGGAATGACGGGCAGCTTTCTTTCTGAATGTCCGGGCGACACTGGAAACCTGAAATTTCACGTTCGGCGCTGCGAAAATCTCCACACAGCAGCCAATGGCCCTGCTTGGCAGCACATGTAGGGTGCCCTAGGTTTTGGTTTTTCCGTCATCGTCCAATCACCTCGCTGACACAGCAAACCTTAGGTTTGGGCAGCAGCCGAGCCGACAGCCTTCCGTGCCTGCTTCATGGTCTTGTCTGGTCTGGTGAGGGGAGCAGAGTGGAGTTCTCTAGGGGGAAAGGGAGGCCTTGTTCTTGCTTCCATCCATCGATGGTCAGTAGGTCACAGTGGTGCCGCACTCTGATTGTTGATTTTCTTGTTTGATGGCCCCAAGGCTCCTCCAAGACATGCTGCTGGGGAGGGGTGGGGAGGGAAAAGGAGGCAGGGACACGACAGGAACAGACCATTTGTCCTGTCGGTGACCCTCTGACTGTCAGGACTCAGGAGGTTTTGCGTGGTTATCATTCCGACATGTTCTCCTAGGTTTCGCCCCGAACTAGAGGTTGCATAGCTCATGACGTCCGTGGTTTTCTCTGTCGTGCTTCGTGTACATACGCACTAGTTATATCAGGCCGTTGCAGCCGGAAAATACCCTCACAGTGAAAAAAAAAAAAACTTAGTTGTTGCTACCAGGAACAAGCACGGCTTTTGTCTAGAACGATGAAACATACTAATTCAGAAGGTGCATAGTAAGGTCTTTAGAAGCTTCATTTCTTGACAGATTCGTCAGTAGCTTTCGTCAGCCTAATCGGCTAGCTAAGCAATAGGCCGTGCAATGGACGGTACAGCTCCAGCCGCCATGGAGCTCCCTGCTGCCGTCGTTGTGACTCCTGGACGAGCAGGCGAAGCGAAACAGAGGTCCGTCGGTTACTGACACGTCCAGGTCGCAATGTCGTCGCGTTTTAAATCGTTTCGTTCATGTTGTGGCATTTCGTGTCATTCTGGCGATTCTGGTCCGGTCAAGGAACTTGCTTATCGCTGGACATCCAAGGGGTTTCCACCTTGCTTACCTCCATCGTTTTTTTTTTTTTTTTTTTTTTTTTTTTTGGTCGGTCTTGTGAAAGTTTCTAACGTTTCTGTTGAAATCCTGCTCCATCCTCCCAACATCTATTTTACTGTTTTTCAGGAAATCAGCGAAAAAGAAGACCAACTCGCCCTTAGTCGCTTCCACCAGCCATCACAGGCCGTGGCGTGACCTCGAACATTCGGGTCACGCTGACTGCGGAATTCCCCCGGAAAACACTGCGGCACATGCTGACTCACCCGGTCCCACATCTGACTCACCCAGTCCCACATCTGACTCACGCAGACCACCAGCTGAGGCACTGGAGCATTCTTTTCAGGCACGGCTGAGTTATTCAGAGCCAACGGCAGCGTCTACCCTAGTATCACCGAACCCTTCTGGCCACCACTTACCAGCACACGCCAATGGCGGCCTCTCATTCACGCCGTGCACAAACTCCTATCAGGCAACAGTAACTAACTACGGAGAGAGAAACTCGAGTCCCAGCGACAGCCTAAAGAAGACCTCTTTGCGTAGGCGCAAGGACACGGCGGCTGGAGGCATGGCGTCTTTAACTTGCAAGGGAGAAAGCAGGACAGCACCCGCTTCTTGCGCTTCGCCTCTGTCCAGGTGCGGAGAATCCGCCGCTGTCCTGTCCACACCCCCTGCTCCTACTTCGTCGCAGTCAGGCTGTGCAGGAGCATCGGCCGAGACTGACGAGCGGCAAACGCTGGTCCATCGTGACGCGTCTCAAACTCCTGAGGAGCGACGGGTACTGGCTCCTGTCACTCCCTCGCAGCTGTTGGAAGCCCCTTTGCCAGCTTCCTCTATCCCCGTTTCAGGATTATCCGCTTCCTGCTTATGTCACCGTGACCGTCATCAACATCAGAAGCAGCAACAGCAGCGGCAGGAATCACTCTCGCAGCAGCTGGCAGTGCTTCAGGAACAGCACATAGAGCACCCCTGGCGACGGTCTGTGAAGCGAAAGGTCGAGATGCCAGAGGGGGGAGATGAGCGGACTGATTGCAGAGAGACGGAAGCGAGGGATGGGAGCAGATTGGGGAATGGGAGTACACCCCAGGGCAAAAGTGTGATCAGCCATAGGGCGCCTGGACATGGCGTGAGCGGGCATGGCGTGAGCGAGCATGTGGCGTGGGTGGCTGCTGAGCTGCAGTCCCTGCAGGAAATGGTGCAGCGAGGAGGGCGGGTGGCGGAAGAAAACGCAGGAGCAGTGGCGGTCGGTGGGGGTGAAAGGGGAGGAACCGCAGGAGGAGGATCAGGGACAAGGGCGGCAGAGTCAGGAGCAGGGAGGGGAGGAGCAAGGGTGCCTGCTAGGGAAGGGGCAGCGGGGGAAGAGGAGGAGGGAGAGGAGCAACTGGAGCTGTTGAAGCAGCTGCAGCAGCGACTGAATGTGGTGACGAGTCATCTGTGAGTGTGCAGAAAGCTTCTTTTCTCATTGGCCCACATGGTTGCATCCCCAGCTACCATGGTGTTGTATGTACGCGCTCTTTTCTGATTCGTTATTAGCTGGTCTATACACTTGAGACTGTATGTGCTCATGATAAATCCGGGATTCTTGCCGTATCCTCCTGATGTATGCTCTCTGTCTGTGTTCCCCCAGGGATCGCGTGCTCAACTCTCGTAGTCCAGTCGGCCACAACCTTGAAAGGCGCGACGGCAAGGAGGCTACTGCCTGTGTGCTTCACCAGCCTGCAGAAAGCGGGGCAGATTACAGGGGGGATGGATGCAGTGACAGCAGTCGCCTGTTTGGTGGGTTAAACGGGATGACCCGAGCAGACGGGGGCGAGATCGGCGATTCTAGCAGCAAAGACGTGCATTCGTTGAGAAGCGGGCACCGGGGGAAGCAGCATGGAGAGAAGAAGAAGGGAGGGAAGAAGCCTGGGCAAGAACGGGAACGAGAGAGTAGGAGTGTAGGGTCTTCGATGGTGCAGGGGACTAGCAGCCACCATGGGAGGCGTAATGGGTTGACGGCACAGGGCAAGGAGGGTAGAAGAGCACAGGAGGTTCTTGTGAAGGAGGTCGGTGGCGCTGAAGTAACAGTCAAGGGTGACTGTGGTGAAAGTGGTTATAGCGAGTCAAGGGAGGGAGGAAGTAGAGGCAGTGATAGGACGGAGGATGTTAGCAGGGATGGTGAGAGAAGGGAGGGTGAGGGTAAGGAGGGTGATGGTTGGGAGGGTGATGAGGCGTGGCAGGGGAGTATAGGTGGGAGGAAAGTCGAGGCACGGAGGAGAAAGGATGACAGTAAGAGGGAGGGGAAGCAGAAGAAGGAGGGGATTGGTGGGCAGGAGAAGAAGGCAGGGCAGAAGGAGGGGAAGGTGAGCAAGAAAATTAAGGAGGGAAAACGAGGCAAAGTGAAGGGCAGTGAAGCAGCAGCAGCAGCAGCAGCTGTGGTTGCAGGGGAACCAGCAGTTGCTGCAGCTAGAGGGGAAGCAGCAGCTCTCGCAGCTAGAGAGGAATCACCAGAAGCCAGGCTGCAAGACACACTGACAGAAGCGACTCTAGCTAGCGAATATACCGAGACAATGATAGAATCTAAGCCTATGAATGAGAAAGTGGGGTTGTTTGTTAACGACGAGAAGGCACTGCACGGAGGGCAAGGAGCAGTTGATTGGAGTCAACAGGATGACAACCAGAACGGTCAAGTAGGTGGGCGTCATAGAGAAGTAGATGAGCGAGCTAGGCAATGGGATGCGCAAGATGAGCTGATAGATGGGAAGGTAGGCGAGCAGGATAGGCGAGGAGATAGGCAGATTAGTGTAGAAGATGAGGAGTGTGAAACGGATGTGGTTGACACTGACAGCAGGGGGGAAGAGTCTACAGCAGCGAGCAGCGGGAACCTTGGAGAGGCTACCGCAGGGAGAAGTACGAGCAGTGCAAGCGCAGGCCATGCGAGCCCTGAAGCTGCTGATTCTGGGAGTGAAGATACCGTGAGGCAGGCGGGTTCGAGGCACGTGGAGAGACGAGGAGAGGCACTTTGTGACGGGGAGGAGCAGGGAGACGAGGAGGGGGCTGCGGATCCCGGAAGCACAGATACCAGGAGGGAGTCTGGTTCGAGGCATGTGGAGAGCCGAGGAGAGGCACTTTGGGAAGGGGAGGAGCAGGGAGACGAGGAGGAAGGGGCTGTAGGTCGTAGCTGTGTAGGTGCTGCTGAGAGATGGGACGCGCCAAAGGAGATGGAGGGGCGAGAAGTTTTCCGTGAAGGGGCTGAGAGGGAAGAGGTGGGGGGGGATGGGGATGAGGATGGGGATGGGGAGAAGCAACGGGGGCAGGGTGAGGAGGAGTGTTGTGAGGGGCGAGGAAGGGTGCCTGAGGCGAGCAACGGGGAGAGTGAATGCTGGGAAAGGCTGCCGAACGTAGGAGTAGTGGCGAGGGTCTTGGAACGTGGCGTGGCGGTTGCTGGAAGCAGAGGGGAGCTTGAGGCGTGCAGTGAGGCCGATGGAGGGACGAGAAGAGAAGCCGAGTCAGGCGCTCTTCGAGACACGGGTGGGGAAGAGAGGGAGGTACAAGCAGAGACGGACAAGGAGGCGGAAAGAAGTGTTGGAGAAGGGTCAGAGGGAGGTGCACGAGAAGGCGAAGCAGAAGCACGTGCCAAAGAAGGAACAGGAGCAGGGGAAGGTACATATGGAGAGGAAGGGTCACGTGCAGAAGCAGGGACAGGAGTGGGGGCAGGAGCAGGGACAGGAGCAGGGACAGGAGCAGGGGCAGGAGCAGGGACAGGAGCAGGGACAGGAGCAGGGGCAGGAGCAGGGACAGGAGCAGGGACAGGAGCGGATACAGCAATGGTTGCAGAAACACAAGGAGAAGAAGAAGCAGCACTCGGAGCACCGTGCTCCCCCTCCCCCAATCGAAGACGTCAAGCCACTGGGAGCTTCCGTGACTTCCTGGACTTCTCTCCAGCAGATGGGGAAGGGAGGCTGGGTTCTGCTGTAGGGGAGCTCGGTCACGAGAAAGGAAGGTTGGGACTGGATGGGAGCAGAGAGCATAGTGAATGTGAGCTGCCTGTAGTGCAGGAGGACTCGTTTGATCTAGCCGTCATGAGTGCGCCAGCAGGGGAAGGAGGCAGCAGGGAGGAGCGGGGCGGAGTCAGCTTCAAGGTGGAAGGAGGAAGCGGATTCGGACACAACTCAGGGTTGCCTCTCGTGCCCCTTGTGCCTGCTGTGCCTGTTGCTGCTCGCCGCGTGCACTCACCTGCGTTCGCCCGCTCTGAGACCGTTCCTGCGCCCTCCTCCCGGGATGCCTCCAATGACAGCGGGTGTCGGAAAGCCAAGGGGAGGGATCTCTCAAACCACTCCTCTGCGGCAGGTGACCTATCAACTAGCAACACGTCAGCAGCATCAGGTTCGCCTTCAGTAGCAGCCACAGAGGCGCCAGCTGCAGCAGCAGCAGCGTCAGGAGTAGGGGCAGCAGCAGGGGGGGCGAGTGGTATACCTGTGAGGGATCTCTCGTCCCGTCCGTGTGACTTATCAGTGGCCCTGCTTCGCACCGTAGCCAGTGTATACATGAGGCACGGCTCGCACATGCCCCTGCCGCCTACCTTCTGGGACGAGAGGGGCGTCAACATATCGGGCCTCCAGGGGTATAGGCCGCGCCCCTCCGCTGCTGATGGTGCACAGGAGAGTGGCGACGCTGGCTCTCCTGCCTCTGCTGCTGCTGCTGCTGGTGCTGCTGCTGCGAGTGGTGCGGGTGGTGATGGTGCTATAGAGCTGTATTCTGGAGTTCCAAAGAAAAGCATTGGGGAGGAGGAGGAGGTTTTCAGCCCCGATCAATTCCAAGGCTGCTTGGACCTTCCAGGCTCCACTGCATTCTGGGACGCTTCTGCAGGGGGGCAGCACCAGGTGCAGGGGCTTTCTCAAGAGAAATCCAAGGGGGGGCAGCCGGCAGGAAGTCCGAAGCTGTTTCGCCAGGCGTCAGAGCAAGGGGGTGAGAGGCGGAGCAGCTGGAGGCGAAGCCTGGGAGGACTAGGAAGCCTGGGAGGAGGGCTAGGCGTGATGGCAGAAATGGCTGCCGCCTTTCCTCGCCAGGGCTCCATGAACAGTGCTCTCAGTGCTGGACGCAGCCGAAGAATGCCGCCCGGGGCAGGCTCCGGTTTTGATCGATCCGTTTCAGGGTATGGTGCAGAGGGGCTAGATGCTTCTCGGTCCCAAGGAGTAACGTCACGGATGGGGGGCAGTGCGAGTGTGCAGGGGGGTAAGCTTGTGAAAAGCAGCAGCAGAAGCAGCAGCATTGGCAGCAGCAGGAGAGGGAGTGGAGGAATAGGTGGGGGAGGTGGGGAGGACGTAGCTCGAATCCTTGACCCAAGGTCCCTTGAACTGCTAGCGATCTCGGTAAAGAATGAGAATCCGTGGGATGTAGTTGCTGCTGCTTTCTCTGCCAGCGAATCTACCTCCACCAGTGCCTCCTCCTCCCTCTCTCCGCGCCTCCCCCCCTCCTCCACCTCCTCATCTTCTTCCTCCTCCTGGTCCCCTCTCGCTCTCCCCCTCCCCCTCCCTTACTCTCGCCCCTCGCACAAGTCGTCCCTAGGGCGGAAGCTGAGAGGGGATGGTGAAGGGTCAGTGGAGGGAAGCGAGAAGGAAGCTGGGAGGACAGAAGGGAGAGAAGGAAGCAGGGGAAGAGGCCGACTGGATGACCTAAAGGGGTCGAATCCGCCCTCTCCGCATGGGAAGGGGGTGGCAAGAGCCAGGTTTCCGCTGTCAATGTCTTTGGGTTCTTATAACGGGGATGCTGTACGGGAGGGTGGAGGGGGGAGAGGGGAGAGAGCGGGGAGGGAGAAGGGAGGGAATGTACTGCTGAGGCTGTTCCAGGGGGTAGGAGCGCGGGACAGAGAGGGAGGAAATGTCTCTGGCCACGAATCACCTGGGGAATGGGGGAGTAAGGGGGCGGAGGGGAGAGGACAGAGGGAAGCGAGTGGAGAGGGTGGGGATGATTCCGGCTCAGGTGAACCAGGTGCAGGTATATCTGGTGCAGCCATATGTGTCAGCACATCTCCTCCTAACCCATCTACGTCGCTTCCACCGCCTCTGTCAACCCCATCCTCTCTCCAGCGCCCATCCGCTGTGACCCCTCTTGACACCGCATCCCTGCTCTCTGATTCCGACTCCCTCTCTCCCCTCGCCTCTCCCCTAGCTGCCTCCCCTCTAACTGCCTCCCCTCCTCTAGGTGCCTCCCCCTTAGGTGCAAAATCAGGGGATGGGGTGAATGGTGTTAGTCTGGGCGAGAGAACAGGACAAGGGAAGCCAATTCAGCAGCAGCAGCAGCGTGAGCATCAGAGGAATCAGCAGCGAAGCCCTGAGAAGGCGCTTCAGCTTCCTCCCAAGCAGTTGAGCCAACGGGGGGCGCTTAGAAGAGCAGGCAGCAGCACACAGAGCGGTGTTGTAGAGGAGAAAAGCGAGAGTGGAAACAGCGACAGTGCCAGTAGTAGTGGGAGTGGTCTTAAGGTGGAGAATGGGAGGATGTTGATTCCACACACGCAATCCGCGCTAGAGACGTCCTCTCTAGCGTTTCAGCAGCACCAAAAGCAGCAGCAGAGACATCAGGGGCAGCAGGGGCAGCAGGCACAGCTGCAGCAGCAGAAGCAGCAGGGGCAGGGGCAAGAGCGGGGACAGATGGTACAGGGAGGGAGGGCTCCATTGGCGGGTGCAGCTGCAGGGCGGGGAGAAAGGATGGGCAGTGGGCGTGGCACTGCTGCTGCTGCTGCTGGCGCTGCTGTTGGCAGTATTGGTAGTGCAGGGAGAGGAGGAGGGGGAGGAGGAAGAGGAGGAGGAGGGGGAGTTAGGAGGATGCAGCGCGCGCAGAGCAGCAGTGCAGCAGAGCTAAACGCTATAAGCAGGCCCTGGAAACACACAGCAGCGCCTGACGGTGTCCCTGGCAGGTACCCCCCTCCCTTGCATCTCCCGCCCTTGCACCCCCCCCCGGCAGTTCGGTCCTCTTCGGTCCACCCCTCTACTCCCGCCCCCAGTGGTATGAACGGTGGTGCTGGCATGGGTGCTTATGGCAGGGGGTGGAGGGGCGGGGGAGGCATGCAGCAGAGGGGTCAGGAGGAATATGAGCATTGGCAGCATGGGGTAGCACCATTCCCAGCGCAGTACTCCTCTGCCCTCCCTCCGTCCGCCTCCAAACCCCCTCTCTCTCCCAAACCCCCTCTATCCCCTTCCTCCCCAGTCTCTCCCCACTCTCTCTCCCCGCCTCACTCACTCTCCCCCCCGCCCTCTCGTCTCAGCAGGCCCTCTCCAGCCTCCTCTAACCCTCCTCCAGCCTTGTCTAACCCTCCTCCAGCCTTGTCTAACCCTCCTCTCCACTCAGACCTCCCGCTCCCCAGTTTCGACTCACTCCGCTCTCAGACCTTCCATTCTGGAGCCACCCGTGCTCAAACCTCCCGCTCTGGGATCTCCCGTTCTGGCCCACTCTGCTCCAGGCCATCTCGAAACCCCTCCAAGCTGCATCCCATTAAGGTAGCTGCTGACGCCGCGCCTCTCCACATGCCTGGTGAGTCGATGCAGCAATCGCCTCAGCCCGGCTCAGCCAAGCCTCTGAACCCAGCCGCATCTAGCAAGCCTCTACCCATGCGTCTGCTGCTCCCCAAGAGCCCCTCTGAAGGCGCGTCTTCTGGCCGCCCGCCCAAGAGCCCCGTTCCTCGCACCTCCTCCTCCTCCTCCTCCGTTTCCCCCTCCGCCGCTTCCTCGGTCTCCCCCTCGACTGCTCCTTCCGCCTTCTCTCCACTGGGTCCCAAGCGTGGGAAGGCGGGCTCAAGCCTGAAACGGGGGGAGAGTGGCGATGGTGCCTGTACTGCCGCTGGTTGTGTTGGCGTTAATGGTAGTGGTAGTGGTGGTAGTGGTGGTGGTAGGGGTAGCGCTGGTGGTAGTGCTGGTGGTAGTGGTGGTGGTAGGGGAAGAGGAGCAGCAGTAAGGGGAGGTGGAGGGATAGGAGGGGCAGGAGGAGGAGCGGGAGATAGTCAACTCCCCCACCCTCCCATCAACACCCGTCTTTCCCCTGCCACCACGGCTGCTGCAGCTGCCACCACTGCTGCGGCCCTTGCTGCGGCTGCCGCTGCTGCCGAAGCTGCCCCCCGGCCTCGGCGGCGGGTCCTGACCTCAGGCTTGGGAGACGCCGAGGCTTGGGGAGGAGCCTTGGGGGTAGCAGGTGGAGAGGGAGAGGGGGGCACAATGGGGGAGGAAGTGGGAGGGGGGGCGGGTGTGGGTGGTGGGAGAGGGGAGAGTGCAAATGGTGGGAGGGGAGGGGAGGGTGCAACAGGTGCAGGGTGGGAGCTGGTTGCGGTGGAGGCTGTACCTGAGGAAGGCGCGTATGTGCACGCTGATGTGGCGGCTCTCAAACGACACCGGTAGGATTATGGAGTTGCATGAAAGTGCGTTCTGGTTCAGTTGCCCTCTCAGCCAACTAGTGGCTCGTGCACTCAAGGTGACCTTAAAGCCAACTTGACAGTCACCTCTGAACCGAGGAGCTCGTCTGAGCTGTCTCCTCTTTTTATCCCTATGCCTCTCTCCTTCCCCTCCAACACCTTCCGCCACCAGGCACTACATGGATCAACTGCGCGTGGTTTACCCCCCTGTCTCGCGCACATAGAAAGGCCTATCCACCCCTCCCCTTTTCCCTTCCCCCTCCCCCTTGTCTTGTGCCCCTTCCCTGCAAACCCCCCCCCGCCCTCCCCTCCCCCCCCCCCCCCCGCCAGGCACTACATGGATCAGCTGCGCCTGGTTGACCCATCCAGCCTCGCACACACAGAGAGGCTTGTCTTCTGGATCAACGTGTACAACGCCCTCCTGCTCTCGGTATGTGTGTGTGTGTGTAGAGCATTCTCTTTGCCCTTAAAGCCTCTGCACGGCCCTCCTGCTCTTGTTACCCCGTTGACCCCTCCAGCCTCTCCAGTCTCTTGCACACGAAGAGGCTTTTCTTCGGTAGGTGTTTAGTGCCCTCTTGGCCTAAGCACCTTCTCCCTTCGCATTTTACCTGCTCCTTCCTGGTTGTCCACTGGTCACCAAAGGAAGGACGATTCCACTGCGACAAGGAGCGTGATGCAAGAGACATGCCATGCCATGCCATGCCATCACCTTCCTTTTCAAGTGCAAGATGATGTGCATCTCCTTGCCTCCCTCCCTTGCTCTCCCTACTTCCTCTCCCTACTTCCTCTCCCTACTTCCTCTCCCTACCATTTCAGGCCTACATCAGCAACGGCTGTCCTGACACTCACCTGCGCAGGATTGCTCTGCTACAGACCGTAAGTCTTCTGCCGTTAAGAACAGGGCACACCGAACGCCCTATTCTCGTTCTGTCATTTCCCTTGTCCTGTTCGCTTTCCAATTCACCCCTTCCTCTCGTCTGTTCCATCTCCTCCTCCTACACGCCAGGCGTCATACAGCATAGGAGGCCATACAGTCACAGCAACCGACATTGAATTCGCCATTCTCAGGGCTCCCGCTGCCAAGCCCTCGCCTCTGGTAAGTGCCAATGCCCCACCCTGCTCTGCTCTGCCGTTTCACTGGAACCGCTTTGCCTCTTCACTCCCCTCTCCTAGGCCAAGGCCCTGAAACGCCAGTCCCTTCCCTCCCTGCCAGCGACTCCAGGCACCAGTGGGCGCTATCTCCTCAGAACCGGAGCCCCTCATCTCCATGGCTGTTTCCCCCCGGTTGCTGTCGCACTCAGTGCCCTTTCTCTCTCCTTGTCCCAGGCCAAGGCCCTGAACGCCACCCCCTTCCCTCCAACCGACCCCAGGCATCAGTGGGTGTTGAGTGAACCGGAACCGCTCGTATCCTTTGCCCTTTCTCCCGGGTCGCTGTCTGCGCCCATGGTGCGAGCATGCTTGCCGCGCTCATTGCTCTTCCCCCCTCTTTTCTTTCCTGTTTCTGCCCTCCGTGTCCCAGGCCAAGGCTCTGAACGCCTCCCCCTTCCCTGCCAGCGACCCCAGGCACCAGTGGGTGTTGACTGAGCCGGAGCCCCTGGTGTCCTTTGCCCTTTCTCCTGGGTCGCTGTCTGCGCCCGTGGTGCGAGCGTACCTGCCACACTCAGTGCACCTGCAGCTGCAGCACGCCAGGGACCTGTACCTCGCCAGCTGCATCGGCATGAGCGCGGACAACCGCGTTTGCCTGCCTCGCCTGTTGAAGTGGTGAGTACTGGTGCTGGTTCTGGTCCTGATGGTGGTATGGGTATACCTTCCGCACTCGGTGCACATGCAGCTGCAGCACGCCAGGGACCTGTACCTGGCCAGCTGCATCGGCATGAGCGCTGACAATCGCGTTTGCCTGCCTCGCCTGTTGAAGTGGTGAGTGCTGATGGTGGTGATGGGTCCGATGGTGCTGATGGTGGTGATGGGTCCGATGGTGCTCATGGTGGTGATGGGTCCGATGGTGCTCATGGTGGTGATGGGTCCGATGGTGCTCATGGTGGTGATGGGTCCGATGGTGCTCATGGTGGTGATGGGTCCGATGGTGCTCATGGTGGTGATGGGTCCGATGGTGCTCATGGTGGTGATGGGTCCGATGGTGCTCATGGTGGTGATGGGTCCGATGGTGGTGACACTGGTGGTGGCTCCCCCCTTCCCCCATTTTCTCGTTCGCCCTTTCATTCCTCATCCTCCTCCTCTCCCGCATTGTGTATTTGGCTGGCTGTTCCGTGTTTCTGGTTCATCTCCCTTGACTTCCCCCTCTGCTGATTCCATCCCTCATCCCCCTGTCAGGCATGCTTCTGACTTTGCAGAATCTGATGCTGGGCTCTTGGAGTGGGCGCTCAACCAGCTTCCCTTACCTGCCCGGATCACCATGGCAAGGAAGCTTGCCATGCGGAGAAACCCCACACTCGCCTCCTGTGTTGACGTGTCATCGTATGATTGGACGTTTGGGTACATCTTCGATAAGGTGTCGCTCAATTTCGATCGCAGGCCATCGTCTGCAGGAACACACTCCTAGCCTTGATGGAGGCTCTGGGAGCAACCATCGGCTGGGATTGCTTAGGGCGTGTCCCAATCGTACGTCCCCTCCCCAGTACATTCTTTACAGGTCTATCTGGTTCCTCAAGGTTCGAAGCGGCAAATCACGAAAACCGGTTCTCAGCGTGTCGCACCGTACTCCACTGCATACAGATTTTGTGGGACGTACTATTGGGACACGCCCTTATGAGTTTGTCAAAGGAAGCTCTGAAAGGAATATTTTCTCCGTCTCGATTGGTATTCTGCATGTGTGTTTTTAGCCCTGATCTATGTAGAAAGCGTCTTGTGAACTGCAAGATGAATTCACTTCTCCTCGCCCAGTATAGGGTACAAGATCACACGGGCATAGCGAATCCAACCCGCCGTTCATGATGGTGGAGCAGAATGAGATAGGTGGTGGTTGATCTGGCGTAAAAAATAGTGCAGCCTTGCAGCTTGCTCAACCAGGCAGCATACCCATGCACTAGGTGTAGGCTAGTAGGCATATGTAGCTCGATCAGGCAATATTATGAATAGCTCAACGGCTTAGTAGCGGTAATTACGAAACTAGCAGCAGTCCCTGTGAACAGGGATGCGCGAAGGATGGTGAACGCGCAGAAGGGAATTCTAATCGAATGGTCAGTACGTGCTGTCTGGGGTCTTCCGCTCTTCCGCTCTTCCAGTCTTCCGGTCTTCCGCTCAATGCTTTTGTCCTGCCGTCTCCTCCAGTATCCCCCGCTATGAATGTCGTGCGGGTGTATTTTGAGTGTGAAATAAGTCGATGTTTGAGTCGAGTCAACTCAAACTACACCAGTACGTGCTGTCCGGGGTCTTCCGGTCTTCCGTTCGATTCTTTTGTCCTGCCTTCTCCTCGAGTATCCGCAGCTACGAATCTCGTGCGGGTGTACTTTGAGTCAACTCAAAATACACCAGTACGTGCTGTCTGGGGTCTTCCGTTCTTCCGTTCAATGATCCGTTCGATGCTTTTGTCCTGCCTTCTCCTCGAATATCCGCAGCTATGAATCTCGTGCGACCACTGCTACCTGCGGTTTGAGTCGCAACTGCATCTGTTCCGTTCTCTTGGAGAAGCTTACCTCCTCTTCCCCCACCCACATTCTCATGGCCCAATGCATCAAATTTTGAGGTGACTTTTGAGTCGACTCAAAAGTCGCCCAATGAATCAAATTTTGTTGCTCATGATGTTCCCACCACTCCTATCATTGCCACCATCCTCCTCCTCTCTCTCTCTCTCTCTCTCTCTTTTCTTCAACCAGCGACATCCCCATGGCGCAGTATATTATCTTGCTCCTCTCCCTTCTTACTCCTGTCTATCCACTGCTCTCCTCTTCTTACAGCGACATCCCCATGGCGCAGTATATTATCTTTCTGGACAGCAAGCGGGGAGGCGCCGAGAAATTCATTCTCCAGGTAGAATGATCCCTTGAAAAGACATGCATTTTTTAAGGCATGCGGCTCTGCTCATGCTCCACGTTCTGCCATGCGTGTCTCGTCAAGTTGGTGTGTTGATTCAGCTCTATACAGGGGCCCCACATGCCTGAGCCAGCCAGCAATATGCGTCCTTTTTACTTCCTGTAACCGGTTGCTGCGCTCATTCCTCAGGCTTTAGACGACACTCATCTGCTGATGCATGCGCAAGCGGCAGACACGGTGCTAAGTTATAACATTCCGCTGTCCCCCGTCCATCCACTTGCTGTTCCCCACACCCGTTTCTCAGGTTCTAGACGACACACATATGCTGATTCATGCTGAAGCAGCAGACATGGTGCAGAAGATGTGCCGTGATTGGATGGATGCCAACACGTATGAGAAGCCAACTTAGGATGGAGCCATGAGAGGGCTGCTCAAAACTGAAGTTGCATTCTGAAACACCTAGAATTTCCTTACGCAGCTATTTGCTGCTGATTTTTTTATACAGCCCGTTGTATTAGTACTAAGCAGAACGAGTATGTTGCATGTTGGGTGGGGTGTTACAGTCAAGGAGAGAAGGGATACGGAATATGTTTGGTTTTCTAGGTTGAAACGGTTGTTCTAGTTGAGGATACTAGTGTACATTCATTGACATTCACCGGGTTTGAGCATCGGGAACATCGCCCACATTCCTTCCCGCCCCCTGAGTCCGAAATGAGGTGGACCCTACCACACATATGGCTCAGATTCCATTGCCACAAGATTCCTGTTAGAGATTCCTGCATTCGCCATGGAGCGTTGCTTTTAGTTAACGCGCCGATGAGTGCCGCTTCCTTGCCGAGCACGTGGTAGTTATTGCTTCCCTGCTCCTTTGAAACCTGTAGTCGTCTCTTGCAGAGGAGCATCTGACTTGGCGCTGTGGTCCGAAAAATGTCATAGGAACGTTTGGTCATGGCTCTTTCGGTCTGATACATCAGTCCAGCGGGAATGACGAGCCAGCGCCTGTAGCCGCAGAATCCCTGCACGAATCTCGCGCTAGTTTCGCAGTCTCTACCTGCTGAATAAGGACGAGTTTTTAGACGAGGTTAAGTGTCAAGAATGGCGAACCAGCCCGAGCTGGAGATTGCGGTTTACCTGCACAATTTCCATAACCTCGACCTGCTGAAACAAGGGTGCGTCAGGAACCACTGCCAGGGACGCAGGCCTTTTTCCCCTTGGTTGTGTCGCAGCAACGCAGTCCGTCTTAAGACGTGGTCCTTGTTTTCGCGTTATAGGTTCTCCGTGATCTGAGTCCGTGCTGACCTGGCATCGTGCAATGGCAGGTGGTACGGCGTGAAGGTGCAATGCCTGTGGGACGGCTCCGGGCGACTGGCGTCCCCTTCTCGCGTTCTGCAGTATGCATGTGAGGCCTTCGTCGTGCCGTGCAGCACGCCTGTGAGCTTATTTCTGACGTTTTCAGTAGTTGAGGATCTCACTCCCCTCCATTGAGAATGCATAGAACCCATCACTCCTTGACGTCGCCTCACTTCTTGACATCCCATGATTATCTGACATTTCAAATTTCCCTGACATTCCATCATTTTTTTACATTCCAACGGTCCCTGACATCTCATCATTCCCTGACATTTCAATATGCCCTGACATCCCGCCGTTCTCTGACATCCCATCATTCCTGACATCCCATCATCCCCGACATCCCATCATCCCTGACATCCCATCACCCCTGACATCCCATCACCCTGACATCCCATCACCCTGACATCCCATCATTCCTGACATCTCATCATCCCCTGACGTTTGACGAGTGGACGACAGCGACAGCAGCTACCACTGCCTTGAGGCGCCTCAGAACACCCTCTCCCTCAGGGTTCTATTTATCAGACTTTTTTTGTCTGATCGTCTGATTTGCAAACCCGAAATTGTGGCTTCAGACAGATTTTCAAGAAATCGGAACACTTTACCATGTACTTCTTGCACAAACTAAACAGTTACGTAAAACTTCATACACAACGTGTCTTCATAATAGGAGTTGCAGTTTCCAGATTCAGAAAATCAGACAAAAAAAGTCTGATAAATAGAATCCTGCTCTCCCTCCCTCCTCCGCTCTCTAACTCCGTTTCCCTCTCCGTTCCCCATAGTCCCTGAGACTCAGAAGGGCGAGGCGCTGACGTCATGGCGAGTGGACGACAGCGACAGCAGCTACCACTCGCGCTACTTCCGCATCCGCTTCGCCCGCCAGGACGTGGGGCTCAGAGAGGTGGCCTGCTTTCACCTGCCCGTGCGCCAAAAGGTACTGTGGTTTGCCCCTCCAAGTGGTACTGTGCCATGGGCCTGCAATGCCTAAAAAGGTTTATTCAAGTCGATCCACGAGTCACCTTGGTTCAATCACTGTGGGCTCCGAGAGGTGGCCTGCCTCGACCTGCCCGTGCGCCAGAGGTACTTTGCCCTGACCCTGCAACTCCTTAAGTCGATTCTAAGCAAAGTCACCTGGGTCAGTGTGGGCTTCGGGGAAGGGCCTGCTTCCACCTGCCCCTGCACCAAAAGGTGTGCCGTGGCCCTGTAGTCCATGGGTTGCTGGTGCAACTATGCTACTATGGTGGTTGTGTGGTGGGTTTATCCCTCTGTGTGCTTGTATGTGTGCTTGTATGTGTGCTTGTATGTGTGCGCCCTTCTCGTCACTTCCCCCAGAGGCCATATGACGAGCCTGTCTCGCTGCGCTTTGAGCTGCTCCACGCGCCCTTCACAGCGGGCCGGGGGAACGTGCCCCCCGACGAGCTGGACCCCGTGGCTCGGCAGATAGTGCGCATTCCGGGCGGCATGTGGCAGCACGTGCACGAGTACACGCCCATCACGTTTGACACCATGCACTTTGCCCAGCTGGACGTCACCATCCATGCCGCCCTGCTGCACTTCTCCAAGCCACTACCGCATTCCGCCCCTCGCCCAAGGTCAGTCAGTACCACTGCTTTCATTCATATGGCTGCATGTGCCCGAGGTCATGCCGCCACGCCATGCTGCCATGCCATGCTGCCATGCCATGCTGCCATGCCATGTTGCCATGCCATGCTGCCATGCCATGCTGCCATGCCATGCTGCCACGCCATGCTGCCATGCCATGCTGCTCTTCTCCAAGCCGGCTCTCCATATCAACCAACCCTCGCCCAAGGTCAGTGATGCTGTGTATAGGCGCCTCAGTATGCAACACATCGGCATGTGGCAGCACGTGCATGAGTACACGCCCATCACATTGGACACCATGCACTTTGGGCAGCTCGCATGTGGCTGGCAGCAAGCCGCCGTGCTGCACTGCTCTCCTAGCCGCCTCTTCACCCCGCCCCTCGCCCCCAAGGTGTGGTGCACTTCTCCCCACCTCAACTCTTGCTTGCTTTTTGGTGCGGTGCTTTTCTTTCCCTGTAGCCTACCCTCCCTTACCATTCGTTTTACTCACACCCCTCTCAGCACCTCTTGCCGCGCTCCCATATCAGCACCCTATTCAAAATCATTCACTCCCTCCCACCACTCCCAACCCCCTATCCCCCACTCCCAGAATTGCTCGTCCAGTGAACCCCCCACCACCCGCACTCCCTCCACCAGTAGACCTGCCCCCAGTCACCTTCTACACCACGGACCAGCCCTCACAACCACGTACCCAGCAACCCTCCCCTGACGGGGCATCTCAAGCTGACAGCGCCCCTGCTGCGACTACTGCTGAATCTCCAAGCGCTGGCGTCGGTGTCTTGACGGGGGAGAGTGGTGCAGAAGGGGTTGCAGCAGACCTCGCTGCTGCAGCGGCGGGTGCAGCAGAGGGGGTTGCAGATCCCACTCCTGCAGTGGCAGGGGCAGGTGCTGGTGCAGGTGCTGGTGCAGGTGCAGGTGCAGGTGCAGGTGCAGGTGCAGCTGTCCACGAAGAGGGCAGGGATGAGTTCTATGAGGCCGAAGGCAGCTTTGGTGGGGCGCAGGGGAAGCAGGAAGAGCAGGGAGGGGAGTTGCCTGCTGATGGCGGCAGAACGGTTGGTGATTTGGTGGGTGATGATCCGGCAGACGATTCGGCTCAGGAGGAGGTGCTGGAGAGCATTCCCATCGGCGCAGAGGAGGGGGGGAATGGCCGGGAAAGTACGAGTGCTGGTGATGGCGCTGATGGTCCTAGCGGCGTTGATGGGCATGGAAGCAGGGATGCTGCTGCTGCTGGTGTGGCAGGAGGAGGGACTGGAGTGTCTGGGAGCACAGGTGGTGTTGGAGGTGGGAATGGGAAGGGGTCTGGGACGGGCGGGCAGGGGAGCAGTGGGGATTCTGGAGCGAGGGAGCAGGAGAGAAACGGCAAGGAGAAGGTGAGAGTGTGCGGAGGGGGATGTAAGAGGATGTGCTGTGACATGGCAAGCTGTGCACGTGCCAGGCTAGCCGTGTCCCTGTGTTCTTGCAGTGTGGGCCTACCGCTGTCTCTGCTCGCTCGCAGACCCTTCAACAAGGGCTGTGTACCACTGTCTGTTGCTCGGCTCTGCCCTCCCTCTGCCGGCCCTCACTGCGGCATTTGTTTCTTGCTGCACTCTGCCCTTCCTGTCCCCCGCGCTTCCTGTCCTTTGCCCTTCCACAAGGACTATGGTGTGCCTGCTGCTGGAGCCTTCTCTCCTCCTGTTCTCTCTCAGTGCCTCCCTGTTTCTGCTCTCTGCCTCGTGCAGGTTGCAGCAGACCCCTCAACGAGGACCATGGTGTGTCTGCTGCTCGAGTCCGCCCTGCTGCTCGCTTCCGCTCTCCTGCTCTTCTCTTCTAATGCCTCCCTCCCTCTTTCTGCTCTCTGCCTCGTGCAGGTTGCAGCAGACCCCTCAACGAGGACCATGGTGTGTCTGCTGCTCGAGTCCGCTCTCCTCCTGCGCTCCCTCAATGCTGCCCTCGCCAGCACTTACAACCTGCACCACCTGCTACCTCCCCCAGACGTTATGTCTGAACAGGTGTGTGGGGTTGTATGCTCCTACACACACACACTAGCCTGGTGCACAACAGTATCATACACCTTGCTCTCCTCCTGCTCCCCCGAAATGCTGCCCTTGCCAGCACTTACAACCTGCATCACGTGTTACCTCCCCCAGATGCCATGGCTGAGCAGGTATAAGGTTCTCACCCTCTCTTTCATGCATATTCACGGGCCTTTGACATGCACACATGCGCATTCACAACCATTTGACATGCACAGTCACATGCACGCTTATATGGCTCACATGCACTTTCAAGATATTTACATGCACAAATCTGAAGACTTCAAAATCCAATCCCTCCCTCCTCCTCATCCTACTTCCCCTCTCAACCCCCCCACCCCCCTCCCTCCCCACTTTATCTCCTCCCCCCCTCTATTTTTCCCCCCATCCCCAGTCGCGCTGCTCTCCTGTGCTGGTCAGGGCACTGTGTAAACTGATGGGGCAGCAGACAAGTGCTGATGGAATAGATGCTGACAGAGCAGGTGCTGACAGAGCAGGTGCTGACAAGGCATGTGCTGACAAGGCAGATGCTGGCAGGGCAGAGGGGGATTCCTGTGGAGTGGAGGCGAGAGGGGAGGAGGGGACCCCTGCAGTTGAGGGGGAACTTGCAGCAGATAGAGGAAGGAGTGAGGCGGACATTGCTGGGGACAGTGAGACTGGGGATGCTGGAGAGAGCAATGAAGGGGCTGTTGGCGGCAGCAGAGGTGGCGATGCGGCAAAGGGGAGGTTACAGGGGGAGGAGGGCGAGAAGATGGCCGTGGGGGGAGGCTTGAGTGGGGAACAGGGTGCTAGTGGGTCCGACGCTGTAAAGGGTGAGGGCGATGGTGTGGGTGGTGGGGGTGGAGGGGGTGGTGGGGGGGATGGTGGAAAAGAGAAGGAAGAAGGCAAGGAGGGGTCAAGTGCGGAGGATGGGACGAGCAGTCGCGTGGGTGAGAGAGATACAAGTGTGGCTGCCAAGAGTGTGGCTGCCGAAAGTGTGGCTGCTGAGAGTGTGGCAGTTGGGAGTGCGAGTCTCACGGAGGAGGAGGCAGAAGCTGTGAAGGTAGCGGCCAAGGGTCTCGTGAATGCCTACTGGACATCCTTCCTCAGCATGCACAAGTGAGTCTCCTGCTGACTCTCCCTCTGGCTCTCCCACCGAGTCTCCCACCATTGAGTCTCCCTTGACGGCGCCGCCATTCCTCTCATACGGCCTACTGGACACCCTTCCTCAGCATGCGCCAGATTCTCTAACTGAGGCTCCCTTAACCTTGCGCTTACCGACAATACTCAGAACCTCTCTTTGAGGCGCCTCAAAAATCGTGCACTTACCAGCAATACTCGGAACCTCGTAGACAGGCAGCGGGTGTTAGCAGATCTCTGGACATAGTTCCAGTGAGCGCAATTAGGACAGGCAGCAGGTGTGGACAATAATTTGGTCACAGCCTCTTGGGTACCGTACCACCAAGTCCAACAATTTTTCCGTTGAACCTCACGGGATGTCCAACAATTTACCCGCTACATCCCTCAGCATGCAAATCAGCCGTTCTAACTAGCTCACAACAATTTCCCCCATCCACCATGTCCTTAGGTGACTTTTGAGTCGACTCCAAAGTCAATTTCCCCCATCCACCATGTCCGCCACTATCTCCCTCTTCCATTCCTTTTGAGTCGACTCAAAATATCTCCCTCTTCCATTCCTCCCTCCTACGCATCCCATATTCTCTCCCCTCACCACTCCCCAGTCTCACCATGTTCCTCCCGCCCCAGCTGCACTTCCTCCGTTCCACCTGCAGTTCGTTATTTAGAATTCTCATACTCTTCCCGCCCCAGCTGCTCTTCCTCCGTTCCACCTGCAGTTCGTTATTTAGAATTCTCATACTCTTCCCGCCCCAGCTGCTCTTCCTCCGTTCCACCTGCAGTTCGTTATTTAGAATTCTCATACTCTTCCCGCCCCAGCTGCTCTTCCTCCGTTCCACCTGCAGTTCGTTATTTAGAATTCTCATACTCTTCCCGCCCCAGCTGCTCTTCCTCCGTTCCACCTGCAGTTCGTTATTTAGAATTCTCATACTCTTCCCGCCCCAGCTGCTCTTCCTCCTCCGTTCCAGCTGCAGTTCGGTTTTTAGAATTCTCGTACTCTTCCCGCCCCAGCTGCTCTTCCTCCTCCGTTTCACCTGCAGTTCGTTCTCTAGAATTCTCATACTCTTCCCGCCCCTGCTGCTCTTCATCCTCCTCCAATCCACCGGCCCACGCCGCTCCTCCTGTCCAATCAGGCTGTGCCACGTGGAGCTGTGTGCAGTGCTGCGGTGGCAGTGGCTGGCAAACCAGTCACGTGAGGCAGCAGCGTGGGTGTTTGCGGCCTCCTCCCCCTTGCAGACAGAGCAGCTGTTTGGCCTCGACCGCTGGCCTGATGTCTCTGTGCTCAAGCACTCCGTGCCTCAGGATAAACAGACCGACGTACGTACCTTGCTCGCAGCGTGGGTGTTCTCAGCGTGGGTGTTTGCAGCGTGGGTTTTTGCAGCCTCCTCCCCCATGCAGACCGAGCAGCTGTTTGACCTCGACCACTGGCCCGATGTCACTGTGGTCAAGCACGCCGTGCCTCAAGACAAACAGAGCGACATGCGTGGCTTGCTTTCCCCTTGTTCTCTTGCCTTACGTTTCACGTTGAAATGTCACTCTGATTATGTGATGTGAGCTGTGTCAAAAATGTCAGTCGACAGTGTGCGGCAGCAGAATGGGTTTTTGCAGCGTGGGTGTTAGCAGCGTGGGTGTTTGCAGCATGGGTGTTTGCAGCATGGGTGTCTGCAGCATGGGTGTTTGCAGCGTCCTCCCCCTTGCAGACAGAGCAGCTGTTCGTCCTCGACCGCTGACCCGATGTCTCTGTGGTCAAGCACTCCGTGCCTCAGGACACGCAGAGTGACGTGCGTGGCTTGTTCTCTGCTTGTGTTCTCCGCTTTTGTCCTCTCCTCTGCCTCCTGTTCTAGCTGACAGTGTAACGGTAGCCTGACTGTGTGATTCTTGTCGACCTGCAAATCCGGCGAGCGAGGCAGCAGCGTGGGTGTTAGCAGCGTCCTCACCCATGCAGACAGACCAGCTGTTTGGCCCCATCCGCTTCTCTCAACCCTGATACCCCCCCCCTTTCGATCCCACTCTTCCATCTTCCAGCTCGCTCTCCTCTCAGCCCGTCAGGCATCCGTGCCCCTATCCCCTCTCTCTTATCTTATCCCTCCTCTCTATCCCCCCCATCTGTATCCTCCCCCCCTCCCCCCCCCCCTCCCCTCCAAAACCACCCCCAGCTCGCTCTGCTCTCAGCAGCCTTGGCCCGCCAGGTGCGAGCAGCCATGCCAGCAGTGCCTTCCTCCGTGCTCTCCCTACCGCCCTTCCGGCCACAGCTGCTGCCTCGACCCGCCCTCACTGAAACCCTCAACCTGGTAGGTCCATGCGCCCTGCCTCAACCTGGTAGATCCATGCGCCCTGCCTCAACCTGGTAGATCCATGCGCCCTGCCTCAACCTGGTAGATCCATGCGCCCTGCCTCAACCTGATAGATCCATGCGCCCTGTCTCAGCCTGGTAGATCCATGCGCCCTGCCTCAACCTGATAGATCCATGCGCCCTGCCTCAACCTGGTAGGTCCATGCGCCCTGCCTCAACCTGGTAGATCCATGCGCCCTGCCTCAACCTGGTAGATCCATGCGCCCTGCCTCAACCTGGTAGATCCATGCGCCCTGCCTCAGCCTGGTAGGTCCATGCGCCCTCCCTGATCCTTCCTTTCTCTCTTCTCTTGTCATCTGTTCTCATCCAACCCTGCCCCGTTTGCTCCTGCTTCCCCAGCGCGCAGTGCCCTGTGTGACGTCATGCCTGCAGGACATGCGCCTCTGCTCTTCTGCCAGTTCCTGCTGCCGCTCCTCCCTGCCTCCCTTACATCCTTTCTGTCTGCTTCCCCCCCACCCCCCCCCCCCCCCACACACTCCAGCGCGCAGTGCCCTGTGTGACGTCATGCCTGCAGGACATGCGCCTCTATTCCCGCTCTCTCATGCAGCCCCTGCTCTTCTGCCACTCGCTGCTGCCGCTCCTCCTCACTGCCCCCTCCTCCATCCTCTCTCCTCCTCCTACCCCCAATCCCACCACCCCCACCACTCCCACCACCATCAACTACAACACCTCCTCCTCCTCTTACCCCTCCTCCCCCTCCTCCTCCTTCTCCTCTTCTGCTGTTTCTGACATTCGTCTTATGGCTGCTTCTGCTGCCGCTAGTGCTGGCCCCACATCCACCTTCCCCAGTCCCTCCCTCCCCAGGTCCCCCTCGCTCCTCCCCACCACCTCCTCCTCTCTCGATTCTCTCCTCTCCTCCTTGAGCTCGCACCCTCCCGCCTCTGTCCCCTTCTGCCTCTCCTCCCCCCACCGACCACCCATCCCCACCCATCTCAACCACATCTCACCTCTCAGCCCTGCTGCTGGTTTAGGCCATTCTGCTGCTCCCACTGCAGCAGCAGGCGTAGAAGCAGCAGCAGCAGGAGGAGGAGTGGAGGGAGGCAGGAAGGCTACACGGGGCAAGCACGTGGTGGTATTTGTGCACGGCTATCAGGTGGGGCTGTCATGGTGTTTGTACACGGCTATCAGGTGGGGCTGTCATGGTGTTTGTGCACGGCTATCAGGTGGGGCTGTCATGGTGTTTGTGCACGGCTATCAGGTGGGGCTGTCATGGTGTCTGTGCACGGCTATCAGGTGGGGCTGTCATGGTGTTTGTGCACGGCTATCAGGTGGGGCTGTCATGGTGTTTGTACACGGCTATCAGGTGGGGCTGTCATGGTGTTTGTGCACGGCTATCAGGTGGGGCTGTCATGGTGTTTGTGCACGGCTATCAGGTGGGGCTGTCATGGTGTTTGTACACGGCTATCAGGTGGGGCTGTCATGGTGTTTGTGCACGGCTATCAGGTGGGGCTGTCATGGTGTTTGTACACGGCTATCAGGTGGGGCTGTCATGGTGTTTGTACACGGCTATCAGGTGGGGCTGTCATGGTGTTTGTACACGGCTATCAGGTGGGGCTGTCATGGTGTTTGTACACGGCTATCAGGTGGGGCTGTCATGGTGTTTGTACACGGCTATCAGGTGGGGCTGTCATGGTGTTTGTACACGGCTATCAGGTGGGGCTGTCATGGTGTTTGTACACGGCTATCAGGTGGGGCTGTCATGGTGTTTGTACACGGCTATCAGGTGGGGCTGTCATGGTGTTTGTGCACGGCTATCAGGTAGGGCTGTCATGGTGTTTGTACACGGCTATCAGGTGGGGCTGTCATGGTGTTTGTACACGGCTATCAGGTGGGGCTGTCATGGTGTTTGTACACGGCTATCAGGTGGGGCTGTCATGGTGTTTGTGCACGGCTATCAGGTGAGGCTGTCATGGTGTTTGTACACGGCTATCAGGCGGGGCTGTCATGGTGTTTGTACACGGCTATCAGGTGGGGCTGTCATGGTGTTTGTACACGGCTATCAGGTGGGGCTGTCATGGTGTTTGTACACGGCTATCAGGTGGGGCTGTCATGGTGTTTGTACACGGCTATCAGGTGGGGCTGTCATGGTGTTTGTGCACGGCTATCAGGTGGGGCTGTCATGGTGTTTGTGCACGGCTATCAGGTGAGCATGGGGTGGTGTGTGTGCGTTGCTGTGAGGTTGTGATGTGCCCATGACTCACAACCCTGGTGCGTGACAGCTGGCGCCTGCTAGACCTACTAAGCCCTACCTCCTCCCTTCCATCGCCTCTCGCTTCCCTTCTTTTTCTCCCCTCCCTCCCACACCCGCTTCCCTCCTGCACTTCCCTCCCACCACCCCTCCAGGGCCATCGCATGGACCTACGCCTGGTGCGCGACAGCTGGCGCCTGCTAGACCCCGACATCGAGTGCCTCATGGCCGAGAGCAACGAGGCAAACTCCGCCGCCCCCCACTCCCCTTCCCCCTCCTCCTCCTCCCATTCGCCCGCCCGCGCCCCCGACCTGAGTGGTGTGGAGGCGATGGGAGCGCGTCTGGCGCACGAGGTGGTAACCGCGTTACGCAGCATGTTTGGGCCGATCGACCGGCCAAACAGGAAGAACGTGCTGCAGAGGCTGTCTTTCGTGGGGTACTCCATTGGCAACCTGGTCGTCCGTGCAGCACTGGCAGGTGGGGTGAGGTAGTGGCAGGCGAGGTAGTGGCAGGTGAGGTAGTGGTGCACTAGGTGAGATAAACCAATGGCTGGTAAGGTCGTGAAGTAGCAGGTGCAGTGATGCCCGCCCAGGTGCAGTGATGCCCACCCAGGTGTGCTCCAGAGGATGTCTTTCGTGGGGTACTCTGTTGGGAATCTGGTCGTGCGGGCTGCACTGGCGGGTGAGGTACGGCACTGGCAGGTGAGGTGATGCCTTCCCAGGTGTGCTTCAGTGTTTTCTCCCTCTAGTCTGGCAGCTCATTCTCCCTTTACTGCTTGTGTGCGGATGAAAGTCTACTGCCTTCCCTACCCTAACCTCCATCTCCACCTGTCTCTCTGTGGGCCACTCCAACGCGCTAGTCCCGGGCAGCATGTGGCTGCAATCCATGTGTCTCGTTGTCCTCTGATATGCGTGTGCAGATGAGAGCATGAGGCCTTACCTGCCCTACCTGCACCTGTACCTGTCGTTCTGTGGGCCCCACCTCGGCTACATGTACCACTCCAACTCGCTGGTAACGGGAGGCATGTGGCTGCTCAAGCGCCTCGACCCCTCCTCCCTCATGCGCCAGCTGTCCTTCTCTGATTCGCTCAACGTCCGCGACTCATGCATCTACCGCCTGTCGCAGGTCAGTTGGCTCGCGAGTCGGCTCAGATCTCAGAATGTGGCGTGACCTGAATCGACGTGACTTTCGAATGAGTCAACTCAAAAGTCACCAAGTAATAATCAAGCGATAAATGGCACCGGAGGTGACTTTTGAGTCGACTCAAAAGTCACCTCGTTAGAATGTGGCATGACATGAATCGACGTGAGACAAGTACTCGCAGATACACCCTACTTGTTGGCACGTTGTTCAGATCTTGAAACATGACCTCAGTGTGTATCTTTGCAAGTATCTGTTCCGCTACAGTGTTGTGCTAGGTGTAGTGTCGTGGCAGTAAGAACCCTCCATTTTCCACCTCTCGATGTTGATCTCCATTTTTCAACATAGGACCCCCCTATGGCTCTCACAGCACCCTCTTGGCACGCCCGCACGGGGTTCGTGGGCCTTGACTTTGCTTTACTTTCCCTCTCTGTCACTGTGCGTTGCCTCTGATCTGGCGTTGCTCTGCTCCCACCCCATCGCCCCTGCAGCACAAGGAGTGGGTCAACTTCAAGCACATCATCCTCTTCGCACTCGCCTGTGGGCTGTTTAGGCCTGGACATGCCACTGCGTTGCTCTGCCTGTCTCTGACTTGTCCTTGCGCTGTGCCCCACTCTCCTGTCTCTGACTTGTCCTTGCGTTGCTCTGCCTGTCTCTGGCTGTGCCCCACTCTCTCGCCCCTGCAGCGTAAGGAGTGGGTCAACTTCAAGCACATCGTCCTCTTCGCCTCGCCCCAGGTGCTCCTCTCCCTCACCCACCTCATGCAGCCTTGCCGACAATACCTTTACCCGCTGACACAAAAGCACATCAGCTTTCTACCTTTCTGTCCACTTTTACTCCATGTCACTCGTTAGGGCATGTCCCCCCCACCCCCCACACCGACCCCCCCCCCTCACCCCCCGGTTCCTCATTTCTTTCGTGTTTCAAGCGTGACATGCTTCTCTGATTCTTGTTTGTCCATTTCTCTGCCCACCTGTCCAACCACCTCAGGACGAATATGTGCCGTACCATTCGGCCCGCCTGGAAGTATTTGGTGCTGTGTTGAGGGATGCTCGTCTTGGGGGTGTGTACACATCAATGGTGGAAGGATGCCTCGCTCCTTTCCTTTCCCACCCCTCATGGACATCAGGAGATCGTTCGTTCATCCGCTGTGATGTTAATTTTGAGCTGCCGCAACAGCAGCGCAATCTAAATCGTTTGCTGGGCAGAGCGGCTCACATCGAGTTTCTTGAGTTTCCGGCCTTTATTCAGTTTTTCTTTGCCACGCATATGCATTTGTTGGCAATCGGTGCAGAATGAGCAATGGCATTTCTCAATGATGTGCAGAATCCGTATATTTTATGCATGTACTACACCGACTTCTTAGGCGCTGTCTGCGAAATATATGTTGTATCCGCGCTGACTCGAAGAGGACGATTGCTGAGGCGAAAGGTTCCCTTTCATCAGGGACAAAATCGTATTCTGACCAATCGATGCTGTCCTCCTCACCACGTGACCCAATCATCGCTCCAGCACAGAGCCCCATCCTCAAGTGGATTGGCCAACAAAGACTTGCCATTCCGCCATTTCAGCTGCCCAGATCAGAAACTTTGGGGTTGCAGCCAAGTATTTGCGCGGGAACTGCCCAGGGTACTGTACTGGGCAGCCTGCAGAGCTGTAGAGCTGGGATTTTTGTAATGTTATCTCCCCCTTGTTCCAAGCCTTGAATCGCCTTTCCCGACCAGCCTTGGGATTAGTTCTCACAGATTTCTGGTCTGACCAACCTCTGTTCTATGGCGTTCTAGCAACTTTCTGACATTAGTCGCCTCCTAAGTTCGGACCGATAGTGTTATTGACCTGAAAGTATCTAGCATGTTTGGATATTCGTAAGTGGATTTCCGGGAAGTGGGTTGTCTGTTTAGTTGACAAGTCTCGTCATTGTCTCGCGGTTTCCTCCTGGAGCTGTTCAGAAGGTCCAGCGTGCCTTGACATCCTTGCTTCACGCTAGCCAAGTTTTAGAAGGTTTCTCGGAAGTAGAGTAGGTTCCTGGACCCTTGGCGACGGCTGTCCGATCGTTCCGATGTTGGCTGTTCGACCATGCGGGTTCTCTTCGCCGATGCAGATTCACAGCGTCGGGTACGTGCTGGATTTTTTTGGCCTGACGAAGGAAGGCTACGAGCATACCTTCGAACAAATTCCGTTGGACAGCGTCGGCTAGGTGCTGTATGCTATCGCATTGATGGAGAAGAGTAGCGCTTCACCCTCCCAGTGACGATCATTGCGCGTAGCTCCTGATCATGGCGTCGCTTGTGATCGTGGCGTGGCTTATGGTCCTGGCGTGGCTGATGGTCATACTAGACTGTCAGTAACATCAGGCATAATAAGTAAGCGCATTCCTATTCAAGTCACCAACTTTTTCCAAGAGATACGCCGCCTTTCATTTTACCCTCTCCAAAAGAATACCACAACGAAGATTTTCCAGACCACTACTCGAAGCCGACCTCTCCCCATTCCCCCGTTCTCCTCATTCTTCCTCAGGTCCTCTTCACATCCAGGCCGACACGTGGCACCGGTCGCACCAATCATCAATCAGCACCGAACGAACCTTATCAGCTGGAACAACTCGGCATTCCCAAGACGTTGCTTGCCTCTCCACCGGCCTACTCTACTCTACCAGCAGGCGCAGCATGGCCGTCCTTCTGACTCCACCCACCGTACATATGGTGCATACAGTGCTCGGTCCGTGAGACCGCAAGCTACTGCTGCAGGAAGAGAAGAAGAATCGGATGCAGCAGGAACTGGCAGAGGTGCTCTGGGTCTGGGTACGCAAGGGCTGGAAATCGAGACGGCGGCTCTATTTACTGTGGCGGGTCGGCTGGGTGGAGCTGAGGGGAGGCAGCAGGGACGGCAGGAGGGAAGGCAGGAGGGAAGGCAGGACAGGGGAATGGAGGTGAAGATGTTTACTGAAGACATCCCCACGCAGATGGAGGCGGTAACTGCAGGTGTGACGACGCTGGTGACGGAGGCGCAGAGGAGCCCGCCGGACATTGACTATCTGCAGGAGCTCCTGGCCATTCAGCAGCAGGGGCCGAGGAATATTGGGTTCTTTGGCACGCGCAACATGGGGTTCATGCACCAGCAGCTGATCGAGATCCTCAGCTACGCCATGATCATCACGGTGAGCCGCTCGCATGCCATGTACTGTGTGCTGTGTGCCTTGTGCCGTGCGCCATGTGCCATGATCCGTGCGCCATGTGCCAAGTTCCGTGTGCCCTGTACTGTGTGCAATGAGTGGGGCTGTATTGGCTTTCTCCTAGGCACGCGCAACATGGGGTTCATGCACCAGCAGCTGATCGAGATCCTCAGCTACGCCATGATCATCACGGTGAGACCATCTATGCATTGAGCCACTCCCCCCCCCCTGCCTTCCTCTTCTCTCTCCCGTTCTTCCACCCAGAGAAACCACATTCACGGCTTAACACCCCCACCCCCACCCACTTTTAACCCCTCCCTCCCTCTCTGTCTGCAACCAAAACAACCACATTATGACATCAGCCAGAATAACCAAACCCGTGTTCCATTCCTCCCTTCCCCGCTCTCCTCCTCCCCCTCCCTCTGTACCCTGCATCCAGAACAACCACATCTACCCATCAGGGGTGCCTGCATAGCCACTCCTGCTCCCTATCCCCTCTTCCTGTCCCCCCTATAATCCTCCTCGCCCCTCCCACTCTCCTCCTCCCCCTCCCTCTCTACCCTGCGCCCAGAACGGCCACATATACACATCAGGGGTGCCTGCATAACCACTCCTGCTCCCTATCCCCTCGTCTTATCCCCCCTATAACCCTCCTCGCCCCTCCTCCCTTCCCTCCCCCTCCCTCTCTACCGTGCCCCCAGAACAACCACATCTACACGTCAGGAGCTGCCGGCACGAACGCGGCTGTGATCCGGGGAGCGCTGAGAGCAGAGAAGGCGGAGCTGCTGACCGTCATTCTGCCACAGTCGCTGGGCAAGCAGCCGCCAGAGAGCCAGGAGCTGCTGAAGAAGGTGAGATGGCAGTTTAATGATGCAGAATGGCCGTTTGAGGGAAGCCATGGCATTTGGAAGGTACCTAAATCCTTGTTTCATTTCAACATAATCCGAGGGACCCCAAACCCTGGTCATTCGGCCACGGTCACTAAGAAGGTGAGTCGCTGAATAATGTAAACCGGCTGTTCACTTCAGTAACATCCGGTTGAGTCAGAAAGACAGAGACCCTGACCCTGAACCCTGCTCACTCTGCCACGGTCGTTGGGCAAGCAGCCACCGGAGAGCCAGGAGCTGCTGAAGAAGGTAAAGCGGCTCATGACTGATGCAACTCACTTTCTGCTCTCTCTCCTCTCCTCCCTTCCCCCCTCCTTCCCCCTCTCTTTCCGCTTTCTCTCCTCCCCTCCCTTCCCCCCTCCTCCCCCCGCTCTTTCCTCTTTCTCCCCGGTCCATCCCCCCACCGCCCCTCTCAACTGCACTGCCAGGTGGAGAACCTAGTGGAGAAGCCCCACAACGACCACCTGCCTTCTGCCTCATGTTCCTCTTCTTCCTCTTCTCGCTCCTCACCCCCACCCAACCCCCACCCCCTCAACTGCACCCCAGGTGGAGAACCTAGTGGAGAAGCCCCACAACGACCACCTGCCACTGCTTGAAGCCAGCAGGTATGCTGCCACCGTTCCAGGAAGGTACCTCTCTAGCCAGCAGGTACCTTTTCTTGTGTTATCATCTGCGTCCCTCCGAAAAGACACCCCCTACTTCCCCCTCCCTCGCCTGCAGCAATCATCCTCTGTGCCCACAGGCTGTGCAACATGCTGTGCCCTCAACAACATGCTGCATCATCCTCCCCTTTTGCAACAGGCATTTGATCAAAGGTGGCGCATGTGATCTGCCTCAAAGGGACTTGTGAATTTCACTCAAACCCAAACCCCATCTCCTCCTCCCCCCCCCCCTCCCCCTCCCCTGCAGGCTTTGCAGCATGGACATCCTGTCGGCGGTTGCTTGTGATCTGCTGCGAGGTGACTTAAACCCCGGCCTCCCCTCGTCTCTTCTGTGCTCTCCTACTCTCCACTCCTGCCTCCCCTTCCCCCCCACACCCCCCCTCCCCCCCCTGCAGGCTGTGCAACATGGACATCCTGTCCGAGGTGGAGCACCGTATCTGCTTCTGTGTCTCAAACACCCCCCCTCCCCCCTGCAGGCTGTGCAACATGGACATTTTGTCGGAGGTGGAGCGCGTGATCTGCTGCTACGCCTTCCATGACAGCCGGTTCTCCCTGTTCGCTATCCCCTAACCCCCTAACCCCCTCACCCCCTCACCCGCTCACCAAGTCACCCTCTCACCAGCGCCATCCTATCTGCCCCCCCCCCCTCTCTGGCAGGCTGTGCAACATGGACATCCTGTCGGAGGTGGAGCATGGGATACCGAAGGCAAAGGCTCAGTCACACCCCCCCCCGCCCTCCTTCGCAGGCTGTGCAACATGGACATCCTGTCGGAGGTGGAGCATGTGATCTGCTTCGCCTTCCATGACAGCCGGCTCTCCCTGTTTGCTATCCCCTAACCGCCTAACCCCCTAACCCCCTCACCCCCTCACCTGCTCACCAAGTCACCCTCTCACCAGTGCCATCCTATCTGCCCCCCCCCCCTCTCTGGCAGGCTGTGCAACATGGACATCCTGTCGGAGGTGGAGCATGGGATACCGAAGGCAAAGGCTCAGTCACCCCCCCCCCCGCCCTCCTTCACAGGCTGTGCAACATGGACATCCTGTCGGAGGTGGAGCATGTGATCTGCTTCGCCTTCCATGACAGCCGGCTGCTCATGGAGACATGCCAGGAGGCCAAGGATATGGGCAAGATCGTCACGCTCTTCTACCTTGATTAAAGCCCTTCCCCTCCTCACAAGTCTCATTCCACTCCTCTCCTCACAAGTCCCACCCCCCTCCTCACAAGTCCCACCCCCCTCCTCACAAGTCCCACTCCCCTCCTCAAAAGTCCCACTCCCCTCCTCAAAAGTCCCACTCCCCTCCTCAAAAGTCCCACTCCCCTCCTCACAAGTCCCACTCCCCTCCTCACAAGTCCCACTCCCCTCCTCACAAGTCCCACTCCCCTCCTCACAAGTCCCACTCCCATCCTCACAAGTCCCACTCCCCTCCTCACAAGCCCCACTCCCCTCCTCACAAGTCCCACTCCCCTCCTCACAAGTCCCACTCCCCTCCTCACAAGTCCCACTCCCCTCCTCAAACAGCTGGGACGTGCCAGGAGGCCAAGGACGTGGGCAAGATCGTCGCCCTCTTCTTCCTCGATTAGACACTCTTCAGGCCTGACTGCCCCCTCCGCTGCCTTGATTACACCATCCTACATGACTCGACCCCGTTCTAGTACTTTTCTTAATTGCACCAAGTTGAGACTACATGTACTGGTAGCAGATGTCACTTTGTCATCCTCCATCCCCCCTCCTCTCTATGGGCTGTTCGCCCTCCCTCTCTGGCACCAGTGCAGCGATTTCCTGTTTCAAGCTTTGGCTTTCATACCTTGTTGGGCTGGGATATGCAAGATTTCCTTATCCAACAATGAGATGTCCGGGGAATGTGTCCCATGCATTTTTTCAAGCTTTTGTTCTAGCGCGGCATTACCCGGATGTAGTGTAGAAGCATCGATGGAAGGTGGAGTTGGGCGTTTCTGGAAGGAAATGGCCACAAAGAGCACCGAAATCCACACACGACAGACCCATCTGGCGAGTCAGAAGAAAAGCTGAGACGGGTGTGGTTACCACACTATAAATGAAAGAAAATATAGGTGCATGCCCTAGCCATGCTAGAACGTTGGATTTAAGAGTGAAATGAAAACATTCAAAACGGTTACTACTGGAGGTTTATGAGACAGCGACATTCAGCTACACTGCTGCAACAACAAAGCAAGAGTGTAAGGCATGGTTTCAGGAATTGGAACTAGGGTTGAAAGCATAGCAAGAGAGAATGTGGTAGGTTTACTCAAGATGCAACAGGAAAGCGCAGCAATCAATTATCAAACCCAACATCAAAAGACGACTTTTGAGTCAACTCAAAGGCTCAATATCATCCACCCGTCCATCAACTAGGGAAGCATCGCAAGTGCAACAGCAGCAACGGCCGCCAGCAGAGCAGCATGTGAGGTGTGCCGCGTGGCGGCCCCTTTGCCGCCCGTGCTGCTGCTGCTGCCACCACCGCCGCTGCCACTGCTAGTCGTTCCCCCACCCGCGGCACTGCCGGTGCCGGTGCCGGTGGGATCGGAGGAGGAAGGCGTGGGAATGGCGGCGGTGGCATTGCTAGCAGTGGATGGTGGGAGTGGGTCTGGGGTGGAGCTGATAGGAACGGATATGTCCCTCAGGGGGATGTGGGCGAGAGAGAGGGCGGTGCTGTGGGGCGCAGGGGGGGGAGCATAGGCACATAAGTACCGGGGGAGGAAGACCACAGGGAGGGTTGGGAACAAATTTTGAGGCGCCTAAAAAAATCCATGCGTGAGGAGTCTATTTTTGAGGCGCCTCAAAAATAGACTCCTCACGCATGGCACCTGGGGACATGGGCACATGGGCACCTGGGGACATATGGGGGAGGGAGAGCACCCTCACACTGGGAAGGGGAGCAGAGGACGGTTGGAACAAGGGAGGAGGTGGCATGAGCATGTGAGAAGGGCATACATAGCTATGTAGGCTAGCTATGTACGCGAGGTAGCTATGTACATGGCTATGTATGGAACAAGGGGGCGAGCTCCGGTCCGGAGGGGTGCGTTAACTCGTTGGAGATTCCTCACGAGCATTGGAGCCGTTTCCCTCACGTGCAGCACTGAGGGCGCTTTTGAGGTGCCTGAAAAGATTTCTCACGAGCATCGGAGCCGTGTGCTTATTCGTTCATGCAGTTTGAGTCGACTCAAAAGAAGACTCAAGAGCATCGGAGCCTTGTTCTCTTACGCATCCATGCAGCCGTGCAGCACTGAGAGCGGCTGGTTCTCCCCGTAGCTGATGTTACACTTTGAGAATCCGAGCTTCACCCTCTCCCTGTCACTGCCCTGGTGGGGGGGAATGCGAGGAGGGGGAGGGGAGGGGGGGGCGTGGGAGGAACGGGAATGCAGGAGAAGAGAGAAGGAATGTGGGAGGGGAATGGAGTGTGTGAGAGGGGGATAGCTGAGTGGCTGGCTGGTCCCCGTAGCTGGCTGTCTCTCTGATGCTCTCCTGGCGCGAGGGAAGGGGGGAGGGCAGGGAGTGGGGGAGAGGGGGAGCGTGTGGAGGGAGAACTGTGCCTAGTGAGGGCATACCGGGCCTAGCGAGGACGCACCCGGCCTAGCAAGGGCATACCGGGCCTAGCGAGGACGCACCGGGCCTAGTGAGGGCATACCGGGCCTAGTGAGGGCATACCGGGCCTAGCGAGGGCATACCGGACCTAACGAGGAAGCACCGGGCCTAGCAAGGACGCACTGGGACCAGCGAGGACGCACTGGGCCCAGTGAGGACGCACCGGGCCGCAGATGGCGAAGCTGACGAGGTTGGGGCTGGCTGGATTCATCACAAGCGACCCCGAGGATATATCGCCACACATGTCCACACACGACCGCATCTCTGCGCCGAACGCAACAAGGAGGGGAGGGGGAGGGAGGGATGTTGAGGGTGATTGGGATAGGATCATAGGAGGTACGGAGAGACAAAGAGGGCCGATGCTGAGCGAGCCAGTGGAGATGTCGCCGCACACGCCCACACACCCCCGCATCTCTGGGCCCAACACAGTGGAAAGGGGGGGGGGGGGAGGGTGGGAGGGGAGGGGAGGAAGCGGCGGAGGTTGGGGCTGGCTGGATTCATGTCAGAGACCCCGCGGATATGCCGCCATGCACGATCATCCTGAGTGAACGACTAGAGATGGAACCAGTGGTGTGCCGCAAACGCCCACACATGACCGCATACGTGGTCACAGAACAAGTGCATTGTGGCAGATGAATGAAGACAAAAGGCATGGGGGGAACAGGAAAAGATTTCTCTTGAGTGGCCCCAGGGACGAATACTCACACATAGCCAGACATGTCCACACATGGCCAGACATGTCCACACATGGCCAGACATGTCCACACATGGCCAGACATGTCCACACATGGCCAGACATGTCCACACATGGCCAGACATGTCCACACATGGCCAGACATGCCCACACATGGCCAGACATGTCCACACATGGCCAGACATGTCCACACATGGCCAGACATGGTCACACATGGTCACACATGGTCAGACATGGTCACACATGGTCAGACATGGCCATATTTTGCCACACATGACCGCACGCGACCACACCCGACCACACCTCTGGGCCCAGCACAGCGTATAGCAGGAGATGAGGGAAAAGGCACGGGGGGAAGAGGAAAGGGTTGCTCTTGAGTGGGCCAGGGATGAATACTCACACATGCCCACACATGCCCTCTGCCTCACCTCGTTTGTCTCAATATACCAGACTGCCTCACCTCGTTTGTCTCTATATTCCGGGTAGTAGATGAGGAAGCTGATGCACATCTCGTCCAGGCTCGACTCGCCGCCCATGGTCACCTGTGGCATGTGTTGGCGATGACACGGTGCGGTAGCAATGGGCAGGGAACCGCATGGCATGGCATGGCATGGCATGGCATGAGGAGGCATGGGAAGCTGATGCACATCTCCTCCAGGCTCGACTCCCTGCCCATGGTCACCTGGGTTGAGTGGGATGTCATTAGTACGGTACGGTATGGTATGGTATGGTATGGTATGGTATGGTATGGTATGATATGGTATGGTATGGTATGGTATGGTATGATATGGTATGGTATGGTATGGTATGGTATGGTATGGCCCGGCATGACGTGGTATGTCATGGATGAGGAAGCTGATGCACATCTCCTCCAGGCTCGACTTGCTGCTGCCCATGGTCACCTGCATGCATGGCGTGCCAAGGTGGCATGGTAACGTGGAGTGCAGTAGCATGGTACAGTGCATGGCATGGCAAGGTGTGGGAAACTGATCACATCTCCTCCTCCCTGGCTGGACTTGCCTCCCGTGATCACCTGCATGGTGTGTGATGGCAATGGTATGGCATGGCATGGCATGACATGGCATGAAGAAAACATGGAAATTTGACATCTCATGGAAATCGCATGACTCAGAACGGAGGTGCCTTTTGAGTCGACTCGAGGTGACTTCTGAGTCAACTCGAGGTGACTTCTGAGTCGACTCGAGGTGACTTTCGATTCAACTAAAAAATCTGATTCACACCTCATGGATAGCCAGAACAAAGCCAACGAAACCACCAGGCACAACAGGTCAACAAACTACCGCTCATCACCGCTCACAACCAAGGCAAACATCTGCTTGGGATGTGGAGTCCGTCCCACACGCACTTAGTCCGCAGCTCGTTATGACACAGCAGCACCCCCTATCACCACTCTTCACCGCTCCTCACTGCTCTTCACTCCTCTTCAGCGCCCTTTGCCGCTCTTCACCATGGCCTACCTCTGAGCGTGATGTGGAGTCCCACACGCACTTGGTACGCAGCTCATCCCCGGGCAGCAGCTCCTGGGGCGGCTGCACCTGCAGCATCTGCTGCGAGGCAAAGTCGCTGCGAGGGAGGGGGGAGGAGGGGGCATGATGGGAGGAGAGCGAGGGCGGGGTGGGGGAGAGGGGTGTGATGACGGCGGGGCGCGTTGAAGCTCCATGGGCGGCTGCACCTGCAACATCTGCTGCGAGGCAAAGTCGCTGGAGAGTTGGGTGGGGGGGGAGGAGGAGGGAAGGAGGAGGAAGGAAGGGAGGAGGGATGGCATGCCAGTTTGCTATGCCTGTACTCGGCTTTTACCTAATACAAAGGACTGATTGAGGGATAGCATGCATGGATGGGATGGCATGCATGGATGGGATAGCAGGCATGGATGGGATGGTATTCATGGATGGGATGGCATGCATGGATGGGATGGCATGCATGGATGGGATAGAATGCATGGATGGGATGGCATGAATGGATGGGATGGCATTCATGGATGGGATGGCATGCATGGATGAGATAGCATGCATGGATGGGATGGCATGCATGGATGGGATGGCATGCATGGATAGGATGGCATGCAGCGCATCCCCGGGCAGCAGCTCCTGGGGTGGTGCACCTGCAGAAACTGCGGCTGAACTGGCAGCAGCAGCAACAGCAGCAGCAACATCTAGCAGCAACGGCAGAAGTGGCAACGTCAGCAGCAGGGGCAACAGCAGCAACATCACCAGTAGTACACTCACTAGTAGTCCACACGTGCTACCGTGCTGACCTTGGCCCCATCCCGATACACGTCCGTGTGCATCTGAACACAGGGGTGGGAGGTCGGGTGGGGGAGGGGGGGGGGGAGGGGGATGAGGGGGATGAGGGGGATGAGGGGGATGAGGGGGATGGGGGGGATGAGGGGGATGAGGGGGATGAGGGGGATGAGGGGACTCGTTATTGAACACTTGGTGCATGGGGGTGGCGTCTTGGTGCAAGGGGGTGGCGTCGTGGTGCATGGGGGTGGGTGCTGTGCATGTGTGTAGGCCACACGTACACATTTGCACCAGACCATTTTTCACCTGTCGCACTAGTGCAGGCTGGTGTGTCGACAGAACCAATGATGTCGACAGACTCGTTATTGGACACCGACCTGGTGCTTGTGGATGGGCGACTTGGTACATATGTGTTACCTGCAGTAAGGTGTTACCGGCAGTAAGGTTTTACCTGCAGTAAGGTGTTACCTGGAGTAAGGTGTTACCTGCAGTAAGTTGTTACCTGCAGGAAGTTGTTACCTGCAGTTAGGTGTTACCAGCAGTAAGGTGTTACCTGCAGTAAGTTGTTACCTGCAGTTAGGTGTTAACTGCAGTCAGGTGCTACCTGGGTCCCCAGCGCGTGCGTGTGCAGAGATGCAGCAATGGTCTTGATTGACTCGTTCTTGGACACTGACTCCGTGCTTGGGGGTGGTGTGACTGCGTGCGTGCGCGTGCATGTGCACGTGCGTGCGTACGTGTGTGTGTGTGTGTGTGTGTGTGTGCGCGCGCGCGCGCAACACGTAATGTCGTCTGTAACTATGCAGTTACCTGCCTCCCCAGCGTGTGCTGGTGCAGAGAAGCAGCGATGATTGACAGACTCGTTCTGGAACACTGACTTGGTGCAGCGCCCAGGACACACGTTCTCCTGCGTCCATGAGGGCTGGAAGGGGGGAAGGGGGGAAGGGGGAAGGGGGAAGGGGGAAGGGGGGAAGGGGGGAAGGGGGGAAGGGGGGAAGGGGGGAAGGGGGGAAGGGGGGAAGGGGGAAGGGGGGAAGGGGGGAAGGGGGAAGGGGGGAAGGGGGGAAGGGGGGAAGGGGGGAAGGGGGGAAGGGGGGAATGGGGTGGGGAGAGGATGGAAAAAGGGTTGAACGCTGACTCGGTGCAGCGCCCAGGACACACGTTCTCCTGCGTCCACGTGGGCTGTTAGGAAGGGGTGGATAGCCCAAATCTACACCACAATGTGAATCTACCCCAGCAGGGTATGATCTAACAGAAACCTGTCCGGGCGTTACCTGGCCGGGTGGTATCTGGATGAGGTAGTTGTAGAACACCGGCCCCACCATCATAATGCCAGCATCGTGCTTGCGCGGAGGAGAAGTTTCGATGAACATTCCGCTGCTGTCGATGATGTCAGCACGGCCCTCGGGGTTCGTGTAGTGGATCTGGGGGGGAGGGGGGGGGGAGGGTGGGGGGAGAGAGGGGAGGACGGGAGGGCTGTATAAAAAGGGGTTCTCTTTCCTAAAATGGCCGAAAATACGATCGTACTACACAGCAGGTATAATACGATTGCCAAATTTTGCACCTTGGGTGGGGTAGGTGGTAGAATATGAAGTCGACTCAAATGTCCGCATGGCCGTCAGGGTTGGTGCAATAAATTTGGGGGATACGAAAAAGGGGGGGGTTGGGGGGGGGGGGGTTGAGGTAGGGGTAGTGGGTAGGTGGTTGAGGATTGGGGATCAGGGGAGAGGGGGTAGGGGGGGTAGCGGGTGGGGGGGTTGCTGGCACCATATGGCTTGTGCTGACTATACAGCAGTGAGCCACGCTGCAAAGCACTGAGCCACACTGAATGGCACTGAACCGCACTGCACCTACCTACCTGCGGCATCAATGTGGTGCAGTAGCCTGGGCCAATGGGCATGTCAACACTGTCAGGGTAGGAGTAGGGGAGAGCCCCCAGCCCCCACAAGGCGTGTGAGCACAATACCATGCACTGAACCTCACCACACCCCTCAGAAAAGCACAAAACCGCACTGCACCTATCAGAACCTCAGTCCACCGCACTGCACCCTACTTACATGCAGCACGAATTTGGTGTAGTAGCCGGGGCCGATGGGTTTGCCGACGCTGTCAGGGTAGGAGTAGGGGAGAGCCCCCAGCCCCCACATGGCATGTGAGCACAATACCAGCACTGAACCGCACTGAACCGGGCTGCACCCGTCAGAACAACGTTGCACCACACTGCACGCATCTGAACCGCACAGCACCCACCTGCAACACGAATTTGGTGTAGTAGCCGGGACCGATGGGCATGCCGACGCTGTCAGGGTAGGAATAGGGGAGAGCCCCCAGCCCCCACATGCCCACGGTGTGCCCCTGGCAGGGCGCGTTGGTGTGGCTGCAGTCATATGCGCCATCGGTGGCTGGTATGTCCTTGTACTGGTCGCTGGTATGGGGGAGAGGGAAGGAGGAGACATGACACGGGGGGCTCGTGCATGCAGTCGTACGCTCCATCGGTAGGTGGTATGTCTTTGTACTTGTCGCTGGTAGGAGAGTGAGGGAAGGGGGGGGGGGGGGTTTGAGGTAAGGGAAGGGGAGGGAAGGGGGAGACATGGTACGGGGGACTTGTGAATGCAGTCGTACTCTCCATCGGTTGCTCTTATGTCCTTGTACTTGTCACTAGTATGGGGGCACGGAGGGCGAGTGGAGAAGGGGGTGGGGGGTGGGGGGAGGGGAGAGTTGGAAAAGGAGGGGGGGGGGAGCAGGGGGCGTTGGTGTGGCTGCAGTCATACGCGCTTCCGTTGCTGGTATGACCTTGTGCTGGTCGCTGGCATGGGCTGACGGGGGAGGGGGAGGGGGGGTAAGGGGGAGTCGTGACACGGGGGGCTCGTGCAGGCCGTCGTATGCACCATCGGTTGCTGGTATGTCCTTGTACTGGTCGCTGGTATGGGGGAGAGGGAAGGAGGAGACATGACACGGGGGGCTCGTGCATGCAGTCGTACGCTCCATCGGTAGGTGGTATGTCTTTGTACTTGTCGCTGGTAGGAGAGTGAGGGAAGGGGGGGGGGGGGTTTGAGGTAAGGGAAGGGGAGGGAAGGGGGAGACATGGTACGGGGGACTTGTGAATGCAGTCGTACTCTCCATCGGTTGCTCTTATGTCCTTGTACTTGTCACTAGTATGGGGGCACGGAGGGCGAGTGGAGAAGGGGGTGGGGGGTGGGGGGAGGGGAGAGTTGGAAAAGGAGGGGGGGGGAGCAGGGGGCGTTGGTGTGGCTGCAGTCATACGCGCCTTCCGTTGCTGGTATGTCCTTGTGCTGGTCGCTGGCATGGGCTGACGGGGGAGGGGGAGGGGGGGTAAGGGGGAGTCGTGACACGGGGGGCTCGTGCAGGCCGTCGTATGCACCATCGGTTGCTGGTATGTCCTTGTGCTGGTCGCTGGTATGGGGGGAGGGAAGAGGGGGGGGAGCGAAGGGGGCGGGTGGTGAGGGAAGGGAAGGGGAGGGAAGGGGGGGGGAGCGAAGGGGGCGGGTGGTGAGGGAAGGGAAGGGGAGGGAAGGGGGGGGGAGCGAAGGGGGCGGGTGGTGAGGGAAGGGAAGGGGAGGGAAGGGAAGGCGATGGAAGGGAAAGGGATGGAAGGGAAGGCGATGGAAGGGGAGGCGATGGAAGGGAAGGCGATGGAAGGGGAGGCGATGGAAGGGAAGGTGATGGAAGGGGGAGGGGAGGGGGAGAGGAGAGGGGAGAAGGGGGAGGGGAGGGGGAGAGGGGAGGGGCAGAAGGCTACTATTAGGCGTTCGGAACAATAGGCACCAGATCATGGGCTCGGTGGCCCATTAAATCATAAGATAGGGTGGCTCTACACTCTTGACGGTTGGCTCTACACTCTTGACAGTTGGCTCTACACTCTTGACGGTTAGCTCTACACTCTTGACGGTTGGCTCTAGACCTTGGCTCCCAGGCGGTAGCACAAGCCAAGCGGACACAGCTGGGGGAAGCGCAGAGAGCGGGAGGGATATGGCTGGCACTCTGGCTCACAGGCTGGTAGCACGCGGGCACGCAGCAGGGGGGGGCGCAGAGAGTGAGAGGGACATTGCTGGCACTCTGGCTCAAAGCTCGCCTAGTAGCACTCTCAAAAGACGTACAGGGGGCAGCCGAAGAGAGGACGTACAGGGGGCAGCCGAAGAGCAGCACGTGGTGGAGCACGGGTGGGTGGGACGAGTTGACGTGGATGCCAAAGGCTGTGACGTGGCGCGTGGATGGGAGGGAGAGGTCAAACGTCTGAAAGGGAAGGGAGAGTGGCAGGGGGAGAGTCACATGTATGTCCCCCTCCCACTGCACATGTGTATGCCTCTCCCATCCACCTTCCACATGTATGTCCTTGTGAGGCGCCTCAAAAGCTCCTACGCACCTTGCACACGTAGGTGGTGTAGTTGGTCGACACCTTGTGGTCCGACATGGTCAGGTTGTACCGGGCACGCTCACTCCCCACTCCCTGCCCGTTCGCCTGCCCGTTCGCCTGCCCGTTCGCCTTCCCGTTGCCCGATCCCACAGAGGCGAGCTTGCCTGCTGACGTGATGGTGGGCCAGCTGGCAGCCGCGGATTGGGCGGTGGTGGGAGGGGCGGGAGGCGTGAGGCTGGAGGGGCCTGGGGCGGGGACCAGCAGGAGTGAGGTGGCGCCACGTGTCGAGCTGTGATAGGCGAGCTCGTCGGTTGTGCCTGGAAAGAGGGGATCACACACGCGCGCACACAGAAAGATGAAAACAGATGCAAACTCGCCCAGACAGACAGAGTGAGGGATGGAAGGGTAAGAGGAGGGGAGGAGTGGAGGAAAGGGGAAGAGGAGAGGAGGAAAAGGGAAGAAGGTGCATGAGCGCAGCAGGAAGGATGTGGAAGCACAAAGCATTCGTCCAGAGGCAGGGGCACAACCACAGCCACCCCATGCAGGAATCACCCATGCACCCATGCACCCATGCACCCATGCGCCCATGCGCCCATGCACCCATGCACCCATGCACCCATGCCCCCATGCCCCATGCCCATGCCCTCTGCCCCATGCCCCATGCTCCATGCCCCAAGCCCCATGCCCCATGCCCCATGCCCAATCCCCCATGCCCCATGCCCTGCTCAATGCCCCAAGCCCCATGCCCCATGCCCCATGCCCAATCCCCTCATGCCCCATGCCCCATGCCCCATGCCCCATGCCCCATGCCCCATGCCCCATGCCCTCAAGCCCCATGCCCCATGCCCCACGCTCCATTCCCTCATGCCCCGTGCCCCATGCCCTCATGGCCCATGCCCCATGCCCCATGCCCCATTCCCCCCTGCCCCATGCCCCATGCCCCATGCCCCATGCTCCATTCCCTCATGCCCCGTGCCCCATGCCCTCATGGCCCATGCCGCATGCCCACATGCCCCATGCCCCATGCCCCATGCCCCATGCCCCATGCCCCATGCCCCATGCTCCATTCCCTCATGCCCCGTGCCCCATGCCCTCATGGCCCATGCCGCATGCCCGCATGCCCCATGCCCCAAGCCCCATGCCCCATGCCCCATGCCCCATGCCCCATGCCCCATGCCCCATGCTCCATTCCCTCATGCCCCGTGCCCCATGCCCCAAGCCCCATGCTCCATTCCCTCATGCCCCATGCCCCATGCCCCATGCCCCAAGCCCCATGCCCTCAAGCCCCATGCCCCATGCCCCACGCTCCATTCCCTCATGCCCCGTGCCCCATGCCCTCATGGCCCATGCCGCATGCCCGCATGCCCCATGCCCCATGCCCCATGCCCCATGCCCCATGCCCCAAGCCTCATGCTCCATTCCCTCATGCCCCGTGCCCCATGCCCTCATGGCCCATGCCGCATGCCCACATGCCCCATGCCCCATGCCCCATGCCCCATGCCCCATGCCCCATGCCCCATGCTCCATTCCCTCATGCCCCGTGCCCCATGCCCTCATGGCCCATGCCGCATGCCCGCATGCCCCATGCCCCAAGCCCCATGCCCCATGCCCCATGCCCCATGCCCCATGCCCCATGCCCCATGCCCCATGCCCCATGCTCCATTCCCTCATGCCCCGTGCCCCATGCCCCAAGCCCCATGCTCCATTCCCTCATGCCCCATGCCCCATGCCCCATGCCCCAAGCCCCATGCCCTCAAGCCCCATGCCCCATGCCCCACGCTCCATTCCCTCATGCCCCGTGCCCCATGCCCTCATGGCCCATGCCGCATGCCCGCATGCCCCATGCCCCATGCCCCATTCCCCCCTGCCCCATGCCCCATGCCCCATGCCCCATGCTCCATTCCCTCATGCCCCGTGCCCCATGCCCTCATGGCCCATGCCGCATGCCCGCATGCCCCATGCCCCATGCCCCATGCCCCATGCCCCAAGCCTCATGCCCTCAAGCCCCATGCCCCATGCCCCACGCTCCATTCCCTCATGCCCCGTGCCCCATGCCCTCATGGCCCGTGCCGCATGCCCGCATGCCCCATGCCCCATGCCCCATTCCCCCCTGCCCCATGCCCCATGCCCCATGCCCCATGCTCCATTCCCTCATGCCCCGTGCCCCATGCCCTCATGCCCTCACGATGCCTCCCTCCCACTCTCATGTAGCCCATCCTCCCACCCCACCCCCCCCCCTCCCTCGCCCATGCACCATACTCTCACCCATGCCCGCACCACGCCCTCACCATGCCCCCTTCTCCCCCCCACCCTTCACCCACGCCCTCAACATGCCCCATTCTCCAAAAACCCCCACCCTTCACCCATGCTCTCACCATGCCCCACTCTCCAAACCCCCCCCCTCCCCCTCCCCTCCTTCAACCATGCCCTCACCATGCCCCCGCCCAATCACCCCCTCTCCCCCTCCCTCACCCATGGCCCAGACGATATAAGACAAAGCGCCAGCAGGAATGGGGCGGTCATTGCAGTCGAGGGTTATCCAGCTGGCGCCACACGTGCACGGTGGTCCACGTGGCGCCCGTGGATTGGTCGGCGGTCTGGCTGCCGCCCAGCACGTGCCAGTCCTGCTGCGCGTCCAACGCGACGCCTTCGCCCGTCTTGTTGAACACAAACCAATCAGACGCATACACGCGGCCCTCCTCCTCCGCCACCCACGCCACCAGCATGTCTGTGGAAGGCATTCACAGATGGAGAGGAGAAACATGCACGGTAGTGAGTGAGAGGTGTTGGGTGGAAATAGGTAGAGTGAGCAAACAAACCGGTCCAACGCGTACGCACAGCCCTCGCCCTCCGCTACCCACGCCACCAGCACGTCTGTGAAAGGCATTCACAGATGGGAGAGCGACAAATGGGAGGGGGGTGAGTAGCCAATCCCGGATTGCAATCGGGCCGTCGCAAACACACGCCCCAGGCCGAGGGCTTGCTCTCTGCCACCCACGCGACCAGCACGCCTGTGAAAGTCATTCACTGATGGGAGAGCGAAGAATGGAAGGGGGGTGAGAAGCCAATCCGTCGCAAACACACCCCCGGGCCGAGGGCTTGCTCTCCGCCACCCACGCCACCAGCACGCCTGTTGGCACGCCGGACAGGAGAAAGAGGTGCTGTGGTGGAGGGAAGGAGGTACGGAGGAGAGGAAGAGGTGCTGTGAGAAGACGAACATGAGAGGCCCGTCGCATGCATCCGCGCGCCCGCTCTCCGGGACCAGCGCCACCAGCACGTCTAATTTCACAAGGGATGGGAGAAAGAGGAGCGGCGGTGGAGGGAAGGAGGTACGGAGGAGAGAAGGAGGGAGGTAGAGTGAGCAGAAGGACCGATCCGTCGCATACACGCGCCCTAGGGCCTCGCTCTCCGCCACCCACGCGAGTTACATGCGGCGAAAGGTGCCACCAGTGGTGTGTGGGAAGCAGGAGAGTTCGATCCGAGTCATTTGCGCGTCGATACAGAGTCGATAGTGAGTCGATAGTGAGTCGATAGTGAGTCGATAGTGAGTCGATAGCGAGTGGGTGAACAGCGGGAACCCGCATGAAGCGAGTGAGCGAGAAGGGCGAGTCGGGCACGGGCACGGACCAGAGCCAACCATTCCGCCAGTTCACGCGAGGGGAACGGACGCGGGGGAACGGACGCGGGGAAACGGACCAGAGCCAACCATTCCGCCTGTTTCGGAGATGCCTATTCCGACCCATCCCGCCGTCTGCGCCCTGACCGCCACGTGGATGGTCGCGTCGCTCGCGTTGACGCTCCAGAAGAGCTCGAAGCGCGGATCGAGCAGCGCCGTGCTCGAGTAGGACGAGAGCTCGGGCAAGGACGCAGCGCCGAGAATCGCGCCGCTAAATGCGCCGCTCTTTGCGGAGGGTGGCGGCTGGAGGCGAAGAAGAGGAGGAAGGACGCGAGGAGGAGTGAGAGGTGACCCTGGGCTGGAAATGCAGGGAGCAGCCGCGAGCCGCGACCTCGCCGACCGCCGCGAGCACCGGCGGAGCCAACCCCGATGGACGCCATTCTGAGAACCTCCGACAACCCGAGACGACGCGAACTTCGAGTCCTAATACTAGAAACGGGGGGCTCAGGCCGACATTCAGCTTATTTTGAGTCGACTCAAAATACAGCTCGACGACGCGCGACGACGCGAACTTCATCCCAAAAATCCAACCACCAACCACCCGAACTTCGGGTCCTAGACTCTTAGTGCTCCACACGGGGAGCTCAGGCCAACATCTAGCGGTGGGTGATCTCACCACGAAGGAACAACAGCCTCACATCATGTTCTGTCTGCATCACAATATATTTGTGGCCCCAGAATCATGCCCCCCAACGTAGGATACTTAGTGGAATGCCATGGGTGCACTGTGCGAAGTGTTCCGCAACATGCAGCGAGCTATGTGACCAGGGCGGGGATCTGGGGACCGACTTTGTCCAGAGTTCCACGAAAGCGCACAGCAGTGTCGGAACAGCGTAGAGGCGGGGTGGGCTTTTAGAGTGATATGTTACATGATTTAGGGTAGTGCTCTACGGTTGAGGTGAAACGAATTCATTATGATTTTTTAATGTAACATTTGAAGCTGAGTTACATTCATAGTGTGAAGAGTAGAACTCAAGAGACTGGAAGTTATTTTGTGGCGTACATTCCAGAATCAAAGAGATCGGAAGATACACATGTTTAGGGCAGCACAACGGAACAGTGATGAGATACAAGACTCAGGGTAGAGGATCATGGAACATGGATCGTTTGTGAGACGGACTATATGTCTAATTGAGGATGGGGCGGTATGCAGCGGAGTATGGGAGTTGGAGAGAGGCCAGGATCCAAATGAAACAGCTGGACCATGGCCATGCAGGACTACAGCTGTGAGGTGGGGTATCCTCCAAGCATGGCGTAGTGGAGTAGTTAAGACCAGGCAGCTCGGCAACGGACCAGCCTGGGAAAGCCAGGGTTAGGGGGAAGGGGGGGGATGGGAGGAGAGGGGAAATGGAAGAAGAGCACAACAGAAATGGGATGTCATGTCCAGGGCTTCATCAACACCAGCCACTTCCACGGCACACTAAAAATATGCTTGCAGCTGCACAACCTGAAGCTTCTAACAGGCTGAGGCCAACGCGCGCCTAGCCAGCATTTGCATCCTTTCAGCTGTCCGGTGCTGAGAATTAATTGCGATGGCTTAACTTTCTAAAAAGGCAATAGTGGACACGAGGAAGGGGATGAGCAAATGGGAAACCACTCAGACATGGGGGGAGAAAGGAGAGTGAAGAATGCACGGAACCCATGGAAGAGAAGAGACAAAGTGAGAGAGGTGCATAGGGAGGAGGGGGGGAGGGGGGGGGGGGGAGGGGGGGGGACCGGGTGACTCTGGAATCGTATGCAGCTGAAAGGCATGTGCCGCTGTGTGGATGGTGCATCTGAGGTGACTACGCATGGTGTGTTTGAGGCATAGCCATGCTGGCCAGAGTGGAGGCACTTGTCTAGGGTAGGGGAAAACACATGAGTGGCGAACAAAAAGGGGCCAGGGCAGAAACAGGCACTCAAATCGGGTTGCTAGGTATGGTAAGTGTCACTAGTTGTGCCATGGTGCCTATGAATGCGCCTCCCACCGACGAAGGTCGGCCGTGGGAGAGAGAGAGAGAGGGGCAGTGGAGATTGCGGGAGGCAGGACAATTCAGGGGTTACCAATCGTAGGGGAATGACAAATTACAATCCCAAGAGCATCATGGATTCCGCTCCAAAATGTCTAGGCAGGGCCTGCATGGGCAGAACCACTCCTAGAGGCACGTCCCTCGGAAGCTCCCCTCCGGTTGTCATTCGGCGTACGTATCACCAAAAGCCCAACTTTCGTGAAACACTTGTGAATTAAGGAACCGCCCTAGCAAGGATCAAATGCATGCTAGGTGCGTAGGCCTTGATGAGAGTTCCAGAATGCGGACAGGGGGGTGTAAGGCTATGGCAGATTACCAGCAAGATTATCTGAGATGGGTCTTCACATATGAGCCCATCGATTAAGTAGCCAGACTCCTTTCCGCTCAAATGATTTCACAATGTGCACAACGCAGGTGAGACGTTCCATGGGCAGGACCAAATACGCATCACCAGCCAAACGTCTCTTGGCATTACAGAAGGCTCATTTGTGTCACAATTTAGCCGGATTAATATACCATCTATCTATATGCGTCATGCAAAACAGTCCGTACGTAGTTTGTTACAAATCTCTGTAATCTAAACGCCCACGCACTACCGAAGTTGCAGGGTGTATTCCTGGCGTGTTTGGTAGGTGTGGCAGCAGTGTTGTAAGAATGCACCGGGCTTCTTTGCGCAAACCCTAGCCTCATTCCCACAACTATCCCTCGCACAACATACACTAAACAATGTCACAAGCATGTTCGGGCATATTTTTTCGAGCACCAAATTTTGTGACGTGGGGGCTCGGACTGGGGTAGCATATTCCAACTGGCGTAGGCGCCACGTCTCAGTGAGGCGAGGTGGCTGCTGCCAACCATGGCTGGAGGAGAGATGCTGGAAAAATGCGATGCGATGGGATGGGTGAAATAGGAATGCCGGCTCCATTCGTTTGTTCGTTCTGCCCGATTGTCTTTTTTTTTCCGCTCCTGCAACCTCCTGACCTGCTGCAAAAGTTTCCGGCTTGGAAAGAACAAAACCAGTTACAGCATTTTTACTGCCATCGCAAACAGTTTGCATTACTTAGTAAGCAAGGTACGAAGCCAATTGTGTACCGTGCAGATTCACGAACAATCACAACATACATGGTGAACATATTTGGCGCATGGATTAGCTTTTGCAAAATACTGGCGACGACCCTGCCCACGGGCTGTCCCCCAAATGTTCAGGTTTTCCTAACTCATAAGTGTTTCTTGCACACGATTGGTCATTAGTGAACGGCGGGTCAATTGTCCGTTCGTCCCACTTGTGTTATGTTGTATACCGGGTACGCAAAACCAGCTCTTGGTTTAGACGAACCGCGTGGGCGTAATGCGCACACTTCTTTCGCGAGATTTCGCCACAGGAGAATGGGCCATAAAGTGGACACAGGTGGTTTCGCACAAACGTAAACCTGGTGTCAGAATTTCTGACTTGCGTAGGAAGTACAGGTCATATTTCCTTTGCGCCCGGGGGGCGACTCGGCAGATTTCCCTTTTAACGAATACTGACCGTACGGTAGGGGCAACGTGGACTATGGGGTTTCCCCAGGAAATGGGGCATTGTTTTTTGTGTACTGTGCATGGGCGGCTTGACTGGCGTATGCAGCGACTGAGGAAACATCGCCACGTCGCAAGGCTCGTCATCTGTGTTTCAACTCCGTGTTTCAAGAGATTTTCAGAATTGATTCCGTAGGTGACAAACATGGACAGCAATCAAGCAACAAACAGAATTGATTCGACAAAGACAGCACTCGACACTGCACTAGACTCGAAATTACACTCCGACTGAAAACAATGGTTACGTTGACCGACACTGCCCAACTCTTTGCAACACAGCACGCCCCCCTCGCCACTAAGGTCATAGGCAAAGCACATGCCTTCTCGCGCCTCCACATACACGCTCTAAGACATTGTGTCGTAAGCCCGAACTGCATCATCTATCGCCTAGTACCCGCGATACGTAGCTGGCTGCGCGCCAAAGGTCATCCACTCGTCCGCGTCTGGATATCCGGCCATAACCGCAATGGCTCCGCGAACATGAGTGAGGTACTCTTCCTCCGCCGTGCCGGGCGCATTGTTAGTGTCCAGGCGGGAGGATGCGCGCTCCAAGCGATCAATAATCGCAGGTTCGCGGATGTCGAAGAGCACTCGGAGATCGCGCGGAGCCAAGCCAATGGACTTGGTGTAGCCGATTAGCATCTCTGTCGCCATGCGCGACAGACTGCACCGGTTCCGCGCTGAGTCGTTCGGAGCCAGGGGGGGAGGTGCGTTCGCCCACCACGAATCCCGCTGGGCCAGGCCAAGCGACTCTACATCAAGCGGATCCACTCCGCTTGGCTCGCTCGTCTCGTCGTCACGCTCGGTGGTGACGAAGCGAGCGGCGGAAATCATATCGCCCGGGCCGAATAGCTGGGCGAGCATGATCTGCTGCACCGGCTCGATCTCTAAATCCATGTGGGGCTCCTGCTCTTCAGAAGTGGCGCCAAGGAGAGGTAGCAGCAGCTGCCAGGTGGCGGGCAGCATTCGCGTCCTCCAAAAGCACTTCTGGATGGTTGCGGTGTCCAAGCCAAGACACGCATCCGACACCCAGGTTACCACCTGCCACATCTCAGGCTTCCACTTCATGATAGCGGCGACGGTGATGCCAGGGATCCGCCACTGTGCGAGAACTGCCTGAAGCAACTCCACCTTGTAACGTGCCTTCAGAGCGGCGATGATGCCCTGGTCCAGAGGCTGAGTGAACGGGGTCGTGTTCGGCGGCAAATACACGAGGCGAACGTGCGAGAGCGCACGCGTCCGAAACCCGCAGATATCGGCTGACGTCGCGAGAGGGGATTGGAGGAGGTGACTCGACGCGTTGTCGAGCATGACGACGATGCGGCGTCCTTCCGCCATGCAACACGCATTAACGTGCTCGAAGAACGCCGTGAAAACCTGCGCGGGGCGTATGGGATAGACGGGTGTGTAACCGTGCCACGCCACATATTTCATATTTCGTCGTACACATTTGGGCACGGTGCATGCAAGCGACGGAAAGTGAGGCACCTACCTCTGCCGTCATCCATTCGGAGGTGTTCGCGAAGCAACGGGGCCGCTCGAACCTGTGAATTATGAGCGGCTTGAAAAGCTTCGAGCCATCCGCATTCAGCAGCAGCGCGGCAGTGAGCCGGTCCTTGCAGGCTTCTTGCCCGGGGTAGGATCGATGCAGAATGTGTGGTCGGGAAGAAGACTGTAGTAGACGTAGGTCTCGTCGAAGTTAAACAGGTTCTCCGGGGTCACGCCGAGCTGGTCGCAAAGCCTTGGGAAGTGTAGTTGCGCGGTCAGAGCGGCGCCCTCGTCGGCAGATTTCGCTTCGCCGCTCATCTTACGCCACTTGAATCCCATTCGGCGCAATGCTTTATGCACCCATCCAACAGAAGCTTTAAACTCGCTAGGCACGTTGCACTCGGAGGCTAGCAGTATCGCGCGCTGCTGGATTAGAGCAGTCGAGAGTGGCAAGCCAGCAGCATTCGTGCTTTTCAGCCAGCTCTTGAGTCGAGCTTCAAGTAGAGGCCAATGTGGGTTACGCACCCTTTTGAACTTAGCGCGTTCGGGCCCAATGGCCCGCCACTTCTGTTCGGTTTGCAGAAATCGCCCGACTGTGTTGCGATCCGGCCACATGCCGT